TCCTAGACCCCCAGGGCTCTAAGCAGCCTTGTGGGAGGGCCTGAGGGCTGACCGTACCCCCTCTGCCCTCAGAGCCTCTGAGCAGTGTCTCCTCTCTGGAGGTCCACTTCGACCTCCTGGACCTCACGGAGCTGACCGACATGTCCGACCAGGAGCTGGCCGAGGTCTTTGCTGACTCGGACGACGAGAACCTCAACACTGAGTCCCCAGCAGGTGAGGCCGGCATCGGGGCTGGGAGGTGTGCGTGGTGGGCTGAGGCCCCCTGGGAAGTCCTGGGAGGTGTGCATGTGTTTTAGCAAGAATCCGTCACCACTTCATTTCACCACGCTGCTATTTGCCCAACTTGAAGCAATTTCCCCATCACAGCTGCTTAAAACTTCACTTTTCAAGTGAACAACCGAAGGCTAAAGCCACTGTCCCCTCAAAAGCAGAATTTAATGAACGTGAATTTTCATCATAAATTGGGCCAAGAATGAAAGGTGGGGGTGATCACCAGCCCGGGCCCCTCCTCAGCTCACTTAACTTCCTCTGATTCCCATGGAGTGTTGCCATTGGCCTGAAGGCAGCTCCAGTGTCCTCGCTCTGCCTGCAAGCAGGGCCCCCGGCACGGCCACGTACTCAGCTCCGGTGTCCTCACTCTGCCTGCGAGCAGGGCCCCCGGCACATTGGGCCAGAATGAAAGGTGGGGGTGATCACTCGCCCGGGCCCCTCCTCAGCTCACTTAACTTCCTCTGATTCCCATGGAGTGTTAAGCATTGGCCTGAAGGCAGCTCCAGTGTCCTCGCCTCTGCCTGCAAGCAGGGCCCCCGGCACGGCCACGTACCAGCTCCGGTGCTCCTCACTCTGCCTGCGAGCAGGGCCCCGCACGCCACGCCTGGGGCCCGGTGTTCACTCTGCCTATGCAGCAGGCCTGCATCGGCCACGCAGCTTCAGCCCGTGTCCTCACTCTGCCTGGGCGAGCAGGGCCCCGCACGGCCATACGTGCTCAGCTCCGGTGTTCCTACTCTGCCTGCGAGCAGGGCCCCGGCACGGCCACGTGCTCAGCTCCGGTGTCTCACTCTGCCTGCGAGCAGGGCCCCCGGCACGGCCACGTGCTCAGCATGACCAGAGCACAGGACTCACCACTGAGGCTGCGACAGCGTGTCCTTAGTCTCTTCTGACAATGACCAGTGAAGGTCACTGACGTGACCTGTGTGAACTTCAGTGATAACTGTGAGAGCATCAGGGCCGAGCCTTCCCTGCGTGGGACAGTTTGGCCCGGCCTCTGCTTCCCCACCCCCCAGGCCACTCAGGACCTCATTAAAAGGACAAGGACCAGCCCCACTGTGAATCCTGCCAGCGGCCAGCTGCTCCCCTGGTTCCTGGAGGTGTCAGGAAGGGGTGTCGGCCTGTGTGTCCTGGGCTGCTGCAGCCCCAGGTGTCTGGGAGGGAATGGGGCCTGGTGAGTCAGCCCCCAGCTCACCTCCAGGACACGGCCATTGCCTGACCCTGGCCAGTTCCCACCATCTCCATGTTGGTGGCAACTCTTCCCACCCAGCCCATGAGCCCAGGCATGTGCTACTGTGGCTGGGGAGGTGGAGTGAGGGGCTCAGACTCCAGGCCGCCGGAATCCCCAGCCCCACAGAGCCTGCACCGCGGAGACACAAGGCCCCTGATGGGGCCTCCAAGAGGCCTACAGGGCTCACGGGAGTGGTTGGCTGAGCTGGGACACCTGCCAGGGGGTGGTTTGGGGAGGCCCCACCAGGGTCACTTGACCACGCAGGAGAGGCTCAGCCTGGGCTGTAGTGACTCTGGGGAGCAGTGCCCAGGCCCCACCCAGACCACAATGTCCACCACTCCGGTGGGGCCAGTGTGTGGTGGGGGCCTCCTGTTAGAGGTAGATGTGTGCATGCCAGGTGCAGGGGCCGGTGCAGAGCATTGGCAGGAGTGGCCCAGGAGGCCCGCGGGACCTGAAACCCTGCTGCATTCACCCAGGCCTCTCGGCCACGCTGAGCTGCCCGCACCCCCCTAGGTTTGCACCCGCTGCCCCGGGCTGGCTGCCTGCGCTCCCCTTCCTGGACGAGGGCAAGGGCTGAGCAGAACCGCGAGAAGCAGCCCCTAGGTGACCCTGAGCGGCAGGCCACAGTCCTGGACACATTTCTCACTGTGGAGAGGCCCCAGGAGGACTAAGCCATCTCCGCCTGCCCTCCAGCTCCTGCAGGGCTGGAGTCAGAACATCACGATGGCAGATCTGGGCGGTCCTGACCCAGCAGACACACTTCGCACCCCCACGAGGCTCCAGCCGTCACCTCCTGACACACACCCTGGGGGCAGCTCCCTGCCAGCCCGAAGGCCTGCCTTGTCTGTTGGGCACGGGTCTTAGCCTCACGTGGAGACCAGCTGGCTTTCCTGGGGGACACATGGGGCCCCTGGATGCCTCTGGGAGACCCAGCAGAAGCACAGCCCAGTGGCCTTACGTCCAGCTTGTTCCTGGGCCCTGAGTCAGGAAGACAACGCCACAGAGTCACTGCCGGAAACGTGGTGAGGAGTGGAGTGGCCCATGGCGGCCCTGGGGTGAGGGGGACCCAGGCCTGTGACAGCCACTCCAGGAACTCCGGGGGCTGCTCCAACCTCCGCGCTTACCTGTGCTACCAAGCTCAGAAGCCAGAGGCAGGTTTGGTAGTGGCTAATGGGACAATGTGCTGTCCAGCAAAGCACATGGAGGAGCGGCCCCAAAATTCCCACTTTGATTTCCATCCTGCCCCTTCTACTCCACGAGGCACTGTCTCACTAGGGTCCCCTCCCCAAGGCTCAGCTCTAAGACCTGCACCTGCTTCTCTTGGTCCCTGCGTGACAGGCAAGTCCATTCCCTCCTTAGCTCAGAACACCAAATATCACCAGACTGCCTCAGAAACTTGGTGACACCTCCTGGAATGCTCTCGGGGAGGGGTTCACCGTCTCCCTGTCCTGCACCCACTATGAGGCCACATCCTCGTTTCTGCTCACATCCCATTGCCCGGTTACACGGCCTGCCCACAGCCCTTAAACTTGCTGGGCAGGTTTGGGGCCCATGGGACCCGTGGGTCTGTGTCCGGCAGCAGCAGAGGCGGCTGACAGGCCCTGCTCCCTCTGCTCTGGGGTGTCTGGGGGCCCAGCTCATGCCCTCCCGATGCTTATATGCTGAAGCTCACAGAATGGGCTTCCCGCCTGACAGCAAGTCAAAGAATGAGTTTAATACGAAAGTGTAAGCTTACTTTCCATCCGCAAGCCAACCTGCCCCAGCCCCATTTCCCATGAGCACACTTCTGGGGAAGGAAAACAGGCTCCTGGCCTTCACTGTCAGTAGAGCTTTGGAGATGCCCCAGGCATGCCTTGAGCTCCTTCTGGGTACAGGACTTTAGAGGCAGCACCTGCTCCCACTTCTGAGCCACCCGCTGCCTCTCAGCACTGCTGGTAAACCCAGTTCCTGCCTCGGCCAGGTCTCCTTGCCTGGTTTCCAGTCACACAGAGCCAGGCAGCTTTCTCTTTCAGTCCCATAAAGGCAGCCTGTGTCCCTGGCCACACCTCCACCCGCCAGGGTCTTCCTCCCCATCTTCCATCCTTCCTGCTGAGCTTCCACAGAGCTCGTTTGCAAACAGTGGGATTAAAGCATCACTGCGCATTCAAAGGCCTGGTTGCAGTCTCTTCCTTTCCAACACCAGAGTGCATGAGGTGCCTGCTGAGGGGTGCGGACTGAGCTGACCTGGGCTCCATGCCCTGATCATTCTCCAGCTGCAGCAGCCCAGGGGCTCTGCTGTGCTCACTTGGGTCCCATCTGGGGGATGAGTGTCCTGGATTTCTAGTCCCAAAGTTACACAACAGAAGGAATCATTAAGGAAGTGAAAGTCCTGCCCCACGTGTTCGTAAAGGTGGCCCAGGCCAGGGGAGGGAGTCACTCCCCAGCAAAGGAGTCGCTCTCAACACATTCCTGTCCCAGAGGCCACTGGCACTGGTCATGGGGAGGTCATGATGAGGCCTAAGCTCCTGTCCACTGTCACTACTCATGAAATAAGATGGCCACGGAGCCTGGCCAGGGCTGACCTCCCTTCTGCCAGACCCATGGGTCTCTGTGTTTCCGTGCTGGGCTCTGAGAGGAGAAGCCTGGGCTTCCCATACATAAACATTCTCAGTCAGGTGTCCTACGACCATGGACCCAAAAAACGGCCTCCGTCAGTGAGGTACCTTCTGGAAAGGATGCACAGCTACCGGCAGGTACACGCGATCCACCCCATTCCACCTTCCCTTCTGGCAGAGGGAGGGAGGCAGGCAGGCTGAGAAATACAGGGGCTGAAGGCTCGTGTCCCCACAGGGTGCACAGACCACCACAGCACAGACAGCAGCACCCGCAGGTGTCACTCCAGCCGATGGAGCTTCTCAGCAAAGGTGCAGCTGAGCCACCATCGACAGGCTGATGAGGCAAACTGCGGGTCACGCCCAGGACAGGGGGGAAAAGGCCGTGGAAAATGGTGTCTGATTCAGGGGGTGAGACGACTCCTGACTGACATAAGGAACAGCCTGTGAAGGACACACGCAGGAAGGCTGAGGGGAAGGCGCGTGACAGCCCTGAAGAGGTGAGGGTGAAGGCAGGAGCCGAGGAGACAGGTCTGGAGGGAACAGCCCAGTAGGGGAGGCACAAGGATCCCACACCCAGATCATCATAAAGGACCCCAGGCGCGTGCAGCCGGCTGGGAGGTGACGAAACGGACACCCAGGCTCTCCCGGGGGTGTTGGAGGGAACCACAGTGGGGCCGGAGCCATGAGCCCATGATCACCCTGCATCCCGGAGGCCACCAGATGCCACAATGTCACCGGGGCAGGGTGGGGCTGAGGAAGCGCCCCCACCTCCATCTGAGGGACCTGAGACCAGCCCCCAACCGGACCCCAAGTGGCTCAGTTACTCTGGGTCTGGTGGAGGCCATGACGAAGGTTGAGTGCTGGAGAGTTGTTGAGTCCGATGATATGCATTTTACAAACGGCAAAAGTTGAACGTGTTCACCCCCAGTTGGAAATTATATTTTTGAGGCTCTAAGGCCAACGTAACAAGCAATTTATAAAATGTACTACAAAGCCCCAGTGTCTGATCTGGCCTAGGTTGAGAGAGAGGCTGAGAACAAATAGTGCCCAGGGCAGCAAGCAGGGCCTCCTCCTACGGCCGCTCACCCAGGACATCTGCAAATGGGCATCCCCCAGGTCCCATCCCAGGTGACCTAGACACGCATCCCCCCACCCCAAGGCATGGTTGAGGCTGACCCTGCTGCTGACCCCAGTGAGTCCTGGAGGTAGGTCATGTGCTGGAGACAGCACAAGGGGCATCCTCACCGAGTCCCACACACCCCAGGTAAGAAAAAGCAAAGCCTCCCTAGTTCAAGGCACCAAAGGGCCTGGAGCTCAGAGCCCAGAAGGGGCCTCCCTAATAAAAATTAGGAGCTACCCAACCCCAGGAAAAGTGTTCATGAACAGGCACCAGGGTCAGAGGCAGCCGCGTGCTGAGGCTTCAGGACCACGGCCTCTCCACAAACACCCCTGAGCCGGCTGGGGCCCTGCAGAGCTTCCCTCTCTAGGACTCCAACAAAAAGGGATCACAGGAACCGAACCGATGACCCAGATACATCCTGCAGTGAGACCACCTCCACCCAAGGACAGGGGCCAGGTTTTTTAAGCCACTCAAGTCCCTCACACTCAGAGCAGTGCTGCCACGGAGCCAAGGTGCAGGCGGGGGTGGGGGGTGCCCGGATGAGGAACCCAGGTGTGAGGCCCCACAGCTCCTCCTCCCCCCTCAGCCACGCACCTGTGGGTGGTGTGGACTTTCCTTTTTAATCCTTTTTAAGGACAGAGCAACAGATCAGCTTCCACCAATCCAAACAGCTGCTTTAGAAACCTGACTCACCCTTGATACCTGGCTGGCGCCCTCCTTTTCTGAATTCTACCAAACCGTGAGGGTTTCTGTGCTGGGCCCAGGCTCCTCTGAGTGACTTTATGGCCACATCAACACGCCTCCACGGAAGGTGCCCCACACAAGTCCCTCTTGAAGTTACACTCATGCCAGCCTCAGCACCACAGGGCCAGAGCCCTGGGGCCTCTCCCATCTAACCCTGGACCCAGGGACTCAGGGTACCCCTCTGTCCACTCCCACTCCCTACATGTGGGCTCAGAGCACCCTGATCTAAAACGCCCGTTCACAGTTGTCGCGTTCTAATTTGTTTTGGGTGAGAGCCCACAGCTGCTTTGCAAAGGCCCCAGGTAAGTGGCAGTCACCTGAATTCCACCCAGCAGCAGGTGCAGGCACCGCCACAGGCTACGCAGAGCTCCCCTGCACAGGCTGCTCCACGTCCTCCTCCTCCTGTCCCCGGTTCCAACCCTTCAGCCCCTCGGGTAGGGACGTGTCCTCCTCCAGGCTGCCCATGCCTTCCACAAACTCCTCATACGTAGACTTCTCCGCAAAGGGCCGAGGGCCAGCAGCTCCACCACGTCTGCCTTCTCCAGGAGCCGCTGGCCCACCTGGAAACAACGGCCCACCTGTCAGACAGCTCTGAGGACACGCTCACAGACCAAACCTAAGCAAGCTCGAGGACGGGTGTGGCCTGACCGTGACCCAACATGGGACCCACGACCGTCTGGGCAGAAGCCACACTCACCTTCTCCACATGCTCCCGGCACTGTGTCAGCAGGTCCAGGGTGCGCTTGTAGGCGACGCTGATGAGGCACCAGACCTCCTCGTCAATGAGCTGGGCGGTTGCCTCACGGTAGGGCTTCTCCACTGGGGCCTCGCCTTGTCGGGGAAAGTCAAAGGACACCTGGCCCAGCTTCTCACTCATCCCAAACTGCACAATCTGCAAGTGCGGAACCCAGGATGAGCCTGCGCCCAACATAGCCTCCTGCAGCCCGCGCTGGGGGACGCCCACCCTTACCTGGGCATACGCACTCTGGGTGACCTTCCTCAGGTCGTCCTGAGCCCCCGTAGTGATCTGCCCGAAGCACAGCTGCTCAGCCACCCGGCCCCCAAGCATCACGCACATGCGGTCGAAGAGCTGCTCCCGGGGCAGGTACTGTGCATAGCCGAGGCCCTTGCCCCGGGGGATGATGGACACCTGAGGCCAGGACACATGCCCTTGTCACCCCAAACACTGTCCCCGCTTCCTCCAGGAGCTACCCCGGAGCGGCCAGGCCACCTGACCCTAGCTCTGACCACAGGTCCTTCTACTGGAACGTGAGAGAAGAGAGCCTGAGCCAGGCCCCCCGTACACCATGGGGATGCCCCGAGAAGTGCACCCGCCTTTGGGGGCTTCACATGGAAACCACCTCTGCTCTGCCTGCCCTGCAGAGGCTCTGGAGGGGCCAATGGTCGAACCCAGAGCTCAGGAGTGACGTGGGTTTAACACTGAGGCTGCTCCCTGGAGTCACATGGCCAAGGCCCCATTTGGAACCCAGTGCTCTTCCTTCCCACCCCAAAGGGATCTTCTGACAAATTCTAGAGCAGTATATTCCTTAAAAAGTTAAAGGGCCAACCCTTGAATGTCCCATGCCCACGTGACCACAGGTTGGCGCAGACGTTCCAGGCCCCAGCCTGCCGGGCAGACTCACTCAGGGTGGGAAGACCAACCTTCAGCAGGGGGTCCACGTGCTCCAGGAACCAGCCCACCACCGCGTGTCCGGCCTCGTGGTAGGCCACAGTCGTCTTTTCACTAGGCTGCAGGACCTGGATCTTCTTCTCAACACCTACACATCACATTCCCAGGGGAGTGAGGCAGGGCAGGAGTAGGTGGCTGGAAATGAGGTCCCTCCCTCTGCGCCCAGCCGTGTCTGCAGCTATACCTGATCCCCAGGCTTGTCTATACCAGACAGCAGAGGCCAAGCCCCAGCTCCATGCTGCCTTCTGCTCTGCAGTGAAACCCACATCCCACACACCTCACACGAAGCCTTAAAACAGGCCCGTTTGAAGCCAATGGGAACAGCTGCATGTGAAACACAGAAAGGCACCATATCCTCTGGTTTGACTAAAAATGACAGCACAGCATGACAGGACAGAGAGGGATGATTTCAGTGCCCTAACAGCACAGTGTACGGGCAGGTAACAGGTCAAAGGAAAAGCACAGATGGCACAGGCAACCCTCCTCAGACCCCTCTCATCACACCAGGACAGCCCTCAGGAGGCTTTGGCGGCAGGACACGGTGACCACACCTGGAATCCCAGAACTTTGGAGGCCAAGGTTGGAGAAACACTTGAACTCAGGAGACCGAGACCAGCCTGGGCTACATAGCAAGACCCCATCTCTATAAAAAATTTTTTTTAATTTTTTTTTTTTTTTTTTTTTTTGAGATGGAGTCTTGCTCCATCACCCAGGCTGGAGTGCAGTGGCACGATCTCGGCTCACTGCAAGCTCCGCCTCCCGGGTTCAGGCCATTCTCCTGCCTCAGCCTCCGGAGTAGCTGGGACTACAGGCGCCGCCACCACACCCGGCTAGTTTTTTTGTATTTTTTAGTAGAGATGGGGTTTCACCATGTTAGCCAGGATGGTCTCGATCTCCTGACCTCGTGATCCGCCCGTCTGGGCCTCCCAAAGTGCTGGGATTACAGGCTTGAGCCACGGCGCCCGGCCAATTTTTTTAAGTTAAATAAAAATAAGCAGCTTTGGGCCGGGCGTGGTGGCTCACGCCTGCAATCCCAACATTTTGAGAGGCCGAGGCAGGCAGATCACAAGGTCAGGAGTTTGAGACCATCTTGTCTAACACAGTGAAACCCCATCTCTACTAAAAATACAAAAAACTAGCTGGATGTGGTGGTGCGTGCCTGTAGTCCCAGCTACTTGGGGGGCTGAGGCAAGAGAACTGCTTGAGCCCAGGAGGCGGAGCTTGCGGTGAGTCGAGATCGCACCACTGCACTCCAGCCTGGGAGACAGAGCAAGATCCCAACACTCCACTCAAAAAAAAGAAAAAAAAAAAAGGGCCGGGCGCAGTGGCTCAAGCCTGTAATCCCAGCACTTTGGGAGGCCGAGACGGGCGGATCACGAGGTCAGGAGATCCAGACCATCCTGACTAACCCGGTGAAACCCCGTCTCTACTAAAAAATACAAAAAACTAGCCGGGCGAGGTGGCAGGCGCCTGTAGTCCCAGCTACTCGGGAGGCTGAGGCAGGAGAATGGCGTGAACCCGGGAGGCGGAGCTTGCAGTGAGCTGAGATCCGGCCACTGCATTCCAGCCTGGGCGACAGAGCCAGACTCCGTCTCAAAAAAAAAAAAAAAAGGCAGCAGCTTTAGTGTTTGCTTTGAGACACTCAGTATCATAAGTACTTTATGTACGTTATGCTTCGATAAATGGTTACATAAAGCAGCAGCTAGAACACTCTTCCACCTGACCAACGTCAGCTCTCACAGCTTGGGGTGGACCATGAAGGATGGCTACTGGCCACTTCCCTATTCTCCACCCTCAGAACTGCACCAGGGAGAGCCAGGCCAAGCAAGGCCGTGTTGGCACTGCCTGGTCTGGCAGCCTCCGGAGACCCTTCCTCACAGCTGACTCCAGTTCCCCACGCTGGCCTCGCTGCAGGAGGCTGTGACCCGGCCCACTGTACAGTCTGCTGAGCTGGAGAGAGAGATGGATACCGCTCCCCACCAAGCTGAAGAAAATGCACCGTACGCCTGGGCACAGTGGCTCACACCTATAATTCCAGCACTTTGGGAGGTCGATGCGGGCAGATCACCTGAGGTCAGGAGTTCCAGACGAGCCTGACCAAAATGGTGAAACCCCATCTCTACTAAAACTACAAAAATTAGCTGGGTGTGGTGCTACATGACTGTAATCCCAGCTACTCAGGATGAGGCAGGAGAATCACTTGAACCCGGGAGGCAGAGGTTGCGGTGAGCCGAGATCATGCCACTGCACTCCAGCCTGGGCAACAAGAGTTAAACTCTGTCTCAAAAAAAAAAAAAAAAAGGAAATTCACTTTGTTCACTCCTTTCACAACAGTACTGTCCCGAGGCAGCTCAGGAAGGTCCCTACAGCTTCCAGGAGGCTTTTCCCAGGAAATCTCATCCATTCCCCTCAGGGAAGAAAGCTTCTCTGCCCTCCACAGTAGGCATTCAAACCGGGTTCTAATATGCTTCCTTGGGCCTCTGATGGCCTGGAAGGCCAATCCCTTTCAATTTCTAAATGTTGCTCCCAGAAGGGGCATGAAAGCTATTGGTAGATCCCAAGTCCCATATGTTGGTTTTGAAAATTGGTTCCTGCCTGCAGAATTGACTTCTTTTTTTTTTTTTTGTGAGACAGAGTCTTGCTCTGTCACCCAGATTGGAGTGCAGTGGCGCGATCTCGGCTCACCACAACCTCTGCCTCCCGAGTTCATGAGGTTCTCCTGCCTCAGCCTCCTGAGTAGCTGGGACTACAGGCATGTGCCACCATGCCCGGCTAATTTTTGTATTTAAAAATCAAGATAGGGTATCGCCATGCTGGCCAGACTGGCCTCAAACTCCTGACCTCAAGTGATCCACCTGCCTCGGCCTCCCAAAGTGCTGGGATTACAGGTGTGAGCCACTGTGTCCGGCCTGCATGCAGAATTCAAACTGGGGCCAGAGGGTGAGCCTGCCAGGCCCAGAGCTGCAAACACCCCTCCCTCCCCAAGGGCTCCCAGCTCACCTCCGAGGACCCTCTCGATGGCCTGCTGAAAGTGTTTCTCCTCAACAGAAGGACTCAGATGCCGGGCAGCAATCAGGGCTGCTTCATTGCAAACATTCGAAATATCAGCACCTGACCCAGGAAGGGAGAAACAGCCAATAGTCAGTGCTGCTCCTGGCCGCTGGAGCTTGACCCAGATCAGTTTTGTTAAGGAAAATCTCCAGCAGAGAGAACAAGACTGAAATTCAGTAGAGAACTTAAAAGTAATGGGAGCTGTCCACCAGTCACCATTATTTAGCCACATTTTTTGTCAACCTTTATTAAGGTATAATTTATAAACCATAAAATCCACCCATTTTACACGTACACGTCAATGATTTTTTAATAAACTGATCGCATAGTGCGACGATTGCCATAATCTAGTTTTAGGACATTTCCATCATCTCTGTAAGGTACCCTGTGCTATTTACAGTTAATTCCCATTTCCACCTCTGGCGACCACTACCTCACGTCTGTCCCTACAGATTTGCTATTCTATACATGTTTATTATCATTCTGCACATTTCACATAAATGGAACCATACGCTATGCAGCCTTTTGTGTCTGGCTTCTTGCATTTAGAACAGTATTTTCTAGGTTCACCCATGTTGTGGCATGCATTGATACTTTATTCCTTTTTATAGCTGAATTTGACTACAGTATATGCCACTTCGGCCATTCACCTGCTGATGGACAGACACTAGGGATGCTTCCATTGGAGCAAAACAGCTCATCCCTGCTGAGGGGCAGTCAGAGTCATCCCTGAGTTATCTCTGCTGAATCATCCCTGCTGAGGGACAGCGCTGTCATCTCTGCTGAGTCATCCTTGTTGGGGGCAGTGCTGAGTCATCCCTGCTAAGTCATCCCTGTTGGGCAGTGCTGAGTCATCCCTGCTGAGTCATCCCTGTTGAGGGGCAGCAACTCAAGCAGATTTGGGCTCTGGCGCGTTTATTATCATTCTGCACATTTCGCTAGCAATGCAATCCATACGCTATGCAGCCTTTGTGTCTGGCTTCTTGCATTTGTGAACAGTATTTTCAGGTTCACCCATGTTGTGGCATGCATTGATACTATTCCTTTTATAGCTGAATTTGACTACAAGTATATGCCACTTCGGGCTACTACCCGCTACGGGATGGTGGTAGACACTAGGATGCTTCCATTGGAGCAAAAACAGCTCAATCCTGCTGAGGGCAGTCAGTCATCCCTGAGTTATCTCCTGAATCATCCTCGCTGAGGACAGCGCTGTCATCTCTGCTGAGTCATCCTTGTTGGGGGCAGTGCTGAGCCATCTCCAAGCAAGTCATCTCTGCTGGGCAGTGCTGAGCCGGTCTCGCTGAGTCATCTCAGGCTGAGGGGCAAGTGCTGAGCCATCCCCAAGCTGAGTCAGTCCTGCTGAGGGGCAGTGCTGAGCCATCCCTGCTGAGTCATCCTTGCTGAGGGGCAGTGCTGAGCCATCTGCAAGAGTCATCCTTTATGCTGAGGCAGTGCTGAGTCATCCTGCTGAGTCATCCCTGTTGAGGGGCAGCTAAGCCATCCCTGCTGGTCAGTCTCTGCTGAGGGGCAGCTGAGTCATCCCTGCTGAGTCATCTCCTGCTGAGGGGGCAGTGCTGAGTCATCCCTGCTGAGTTATCCCTCCAGAGGGGCAGTCAGCATCATCCCCGAGTTCTCTGCTGAATCATCCCTGCTGAGTCATCCCTGTTGAGGGGCAATGCTAAGTCATCCTTGCTGAGTCATCCCTGCTGAGGGGCAATGCTGTCATCCTTGCTGAGTCATCCCTGTTGAGGAGCAGTGTTGAGTCATCCCTGCTGAGTCATCCGTGTTGGGAGGGGGCAGTAATGAGCCATCCCTGCTGAGTCATCTCTGCTGAGTCATCCCTTGTTGAGGGGCAGCTGAGTCATCCCTGCTGAGTCATCTGTGTTGAGGGGCAGTAATGAGCCATCCCTGCTGAGTCATCCCTGTTGAGTCATCTCCCTCTCTGCTGAGTCATCCCTGTTGAGGGGCAGTGCTGAGTCATCCCTGTGGAGTCATCCCTGCTGAGTCGCCTCTGTTAAGGGGTAGTGCTTAGTAATCCCTGCTGAGGGGCAGTCAGAGTCATCAGTCATCCCTGCTGAGGGGTCGTGCTGATTCATCCCTGCTGTGTCATCCCCTCTAGGGGCAGAAGAAAGCAGTCTTGGTAACATTCCAGCATTTTATCTTTGGTATGTAAACAGACATCTGAAGTCAGCCAGAGGAGAGAACAAAAGGAAAGAAGCACATTTTGTGTCTAAGACACATGACACCCTTCAGATGCCTGCCAGGCAAGACCTCACTCACCATTCTGCAGCAGACAAACGTACAGTCCTGTGTGAATACACCTGACCTGACACTAGGCAGGACACTGGGGAGCGTAGGGGATGGGTACCACTGGGGGTGCCAAGGCAGCTGGAGGTGATGAGATGCCACAGCAGAATGTTCCAGGGGTGGCGGGAGCAGATGGGCATAGGTCAGAGGCCGTGGCCAATGGCCGCATAACCATGAGGTATGGGTAAGGAGGACAGGAATCCCCGGAAAAGTCCCCACTCATTCCTGAGGGTGATCCAGCCTAGACAGGGAAGTAGGTTTCCTAGGATAGACCAGGATTTCATTAAAAAGAAGAGAGAAAATCAAATGAGCTTCCTCAGCAGGGAGGGCAAGCCCCAGGTGAAAACGTGGAGGGAAGCATCAAGTTGCCAGATCCTCCCCTACCCCCCCCCGCCCGATATTAGCTTACTGTCACCTCTGCAGTAAGACTCACTAAGTCTGACTGTAATTAAAACAGAAATTCAAGTGGGTACAAATTAGTTTTGGGGCTAAGAAAACTGATCTCTGAGGCCTCTGAACACTCTCAATAGGTGAGAAGTCCTGCAGACAAGAGTGAGCACTGCCAGAAATGGATGAGAAGGGCCAGTCCCCACTCCCCATGACAAGAAGCAGAGCATACATGGCTCCCACCACAACGGGACGGCACAGCCCCCAACACCCACCAGTGAAGCCTGGGGTGAGCGCTGCCAGCTTCCTCGCCAGGGTGTCCTTATTGAGGCTCTCGTCCAGCTTCAGTGGGCGCAGGTGGACCTTAAAGATGGAGGACCTGCCTTTGATGTCAGGGGGGCCTAATGAAAGAGAGAGAGAGGCACGGGCTCTTGTGCCTTCTGGGTCTTCAGAACAGTCGCCCACAACCATATCACAGAACTGCAAGGACAGCTGGGGTCCCTGTGGAGCTCTCTGCTGTCATCCTCCAGACAGAGCTGGAAGCAATGGCAGAAACCAGCCAGGGCACAGGCACATCCAGTCCCACAGCTACGACACCCCTCAACCCAGGGCCATGCCACTTGACTACACCCCTCAACCCAGGGCCACGCCACTTGACAGCAAGCAACACAAGGGCCACACAGGATTAACGCTTCCTAACAAACACGAGAGGGGAGGTGGAAGGCGATGATGACTGACCATTGTCAGGGTGAAGAGTAAGGGGTAAATTGCTGTCTTCTAAATTATCAATTTTCAATTTTTTCATTTATTTATTGTTTCTGAGACAGAGTTTCGCTCTTGTTGCCCAGGGTGGAATGCAGTGGTGAGATCTCCGCTCACCGCAACCTCCGCCCCCCAGGTTCAAGCGATTCTCCTGCCTCAGCCTTCCAGTAGCTGGGATTACAGGTGCACGCCACCACACCCAGCTAATTTTGTATTTTCAGGGCCAGGCTGGTCTCGAACTCCTGACCTCGTGATGCGCCAGCCTCGGCCTCCAAAAGAGCTGGGATTACAGGTGTGAGCCACCACACTTGACCAATTACCAAATTTTTACAGTAGTGAAAAAAAATATATATATATCCCTGTAGGCCCGATTGCACGTATTCTTGCCAAAAAGTGGACTGCCAGGGGCAGGACTGACGGCAGCAACTGGCGGCTCTCACACATTTTCCAGATGTTACATTAACTGCTTCAGATTTACCATCAAAATCTCCTCCAAATACACTGTAAATCACCTAAACAAACTTTGCGGCCAAGGGGATAAAGGCCCAACCCTGAGAAAGGGGCACTCACCAATGTAAATCTGGCGATCAAACCGGCCAGGCCGCATCAAGGCTGGGTCCAGGATGTCAGGGCGGTTGGTGCCAGCCAACACCACGATGTTGGTGGCAGAGTTGAACCCTGGACATGGAAGAAGCAGGTGAGCCCCAGTAGCAAGCCCAATGTGGGCATGGCAGGTAACCAGCCATCCTTCCACTAACTGGGAACCTCACAGCCTGGCTCAGGGGGTAGACAAGTCCAGGGCGTGGGCCCTCCTTATCCTGACTTATTACTGGTTCCTGCAGCCTCTGACACCACGTCGTGCTGGAGTGGATGAGGGCAGGCCAGGGACTGCACAGGAAATGGGATGCCCAACAGAGGGGAAGGGAGGAGAAAGGCTGAGTGCCCCACATCCGTCCTGTCTCCAATCGGTCTCCTCCAGATGTCAAAACAGTCATAATCTAATTAGAATTACTATTGGGTACTAAAGACAGAAAAAAACTTAGGAAATGCTTTTGGTCCGCAGAGAACAGTGTTTAACACAGCAGGCCTGACTGCTGTCCTCAGAAAGGCCTGCTCGCAAGGTCAGTGTCTGGCGCTGAGTCTGGGGGCATTCCCACCATTCCCGGAGATAAACAGCTCCCTGGGCCCAAACACTTTGTGCGCCCCCAACAAAAACCCCGGGAACCGAGTCTCTCCTGAGCTTCCTGGTCAACATCCCACAGGCATGATCACAGCCTGATGCTGGGGGAAGTGAGCGCGTCCCACGTGGCTCCACTGGGGGAGGGTTCAACACTGCACCCGGTCTCCTTGCGACCCAATGCGCCTTCTCCCCTGGCTGATTTGCTGTGTCCTCCTTTAACGGCAGTAAATCACAGCCCTGAGTGCTACTATAGGCCAAGTCCTGTGACTTCTCCTAGCAAGTCACTACACCTGGGGTGGTCTTAGGGACCCAACACGGCCCTGAAGCCAAAGTGAAAATCAAATCTGCCAAAGGTCTAAATGAAAGTTTTTCCAAATCTGAAAGATGGCACAGAACCTGGACGTGCCCGACGAGGCTTTAGCAGGACTCTGACAGGCGACGGTCAGTCACATCTTAGCTAAAGTCACTCTGAGAAGAGACAGGCCTGGGGGTCTGTGAGATTCTGGGTGATGCAGGGGCACCAAGACAAGGCTCAGAGCGGAAGGAGCATGGGTTGTGGACACACCACCCTGTGGGCACCGTCAGGAGCAGCCATGCTCGTCTACCTGGTCCCCCTCCCCAGAGAAGCAGATGTCTCCACACTCCAGAGAACCCCTCTCCATCTGGCGGCAAGGGAATGAACTGCCCCCATCCTATCACGGGCACTGGAGGAGGCTTGTGAATCTAACACAGCTTTCTCCATCACGTTTGCCTGAGAGCAGCCTTCCTTAAAAACAGAATAATCAGTGATTCTCTTCTGGGGGTGACTGTACAGAAAAAGGCTGTGCAGACTGTCCCTAAGCAGCTGCAGGGGAACAGCTGCACACCACAGGCCGGCCGCAGCCTACACACACCGTCCATCTCCACGAGCATCTGGTTCAGGGTGTTCTCCTGCTCACTCTGGCCTCCAAAGTGCCCTTGGCCTCGCTTCCTGCCAATCGCATCAATCTCATCAATGAATAAGATACATGGAGCATTTTTTCGGGCCATTGCAAACATGTCACGAACCTGAAACAGAAACCCACAGAGAACCTGTTTTGCTACTGGTAGGAAGATGGGAATGCCAACTATCCTCCACCCTCTCCTCAGAAACCTCTGACCCATTTTGCCCCGGTGCACCAGCACCTACCACACGTGCCCATGCCCAGGGCCAGGGCCCCACACCAAGCTATTCAAGTTGACCAGTCCTGGTCAAGGCACGGTGCTGAGGCCACCTGCAGCAGGTTCCCGTCCACCTACCCTTGCTGGCCCAATGCCAACAAACATTTCCAGGAACTCGGACCCATTCACAGTGATGAAGGGCACACTGGCCTCCCCTGCAGTTGCTTTGGCAAGAAGGGTCTTGCCGGTACCAGGAGGACCAGTGAGCATTGCTTGCTCCCTGAAACAGAATGGTGACATCGGGCTCTTAACAGGGGAGCAGACGGTACACAGGACAGAAAGCTGCTTACACTGGTGACTTCTGAGACTGACTAAGAAGAATCCCATCAGGGATGGCTAAGGAGCTGGAGGGCAGGAGGGGGCTAGACTTGCCCCCAGCACACTCTGTCCTACCCATGTGCTCCAGGAAAGGCACCACCGTGGCCGCACACACAGCCAGCTCTTCAAGATGGATTCTCACAGGGGATGCCACAGGCAGAGGTAATTTTGGGAAATCACTGTACCTCACACCCAATAACAGGAAAGCCAGATGGGCTCTGACCCCACGAACTCTTTCCTGACATCCACAGCACAGCACCAGGCCTGTGATGTAACACAGAGGCTGACAGAGCCCCCTCTCGCAGGAGCCCCCGCCTGCTGGGAAACGGGGACCAGCACACAGGTGAGGGCCTTTCTTTTTTCTTTTTTTTTTTTTTTTTTTTGAGAGGGAGTCTCACGCTGTCACCCAGGCTGGAATGCAGTGGCCGGATCGCAGCTCACTGCAAGCTCCGCCTCCCGGGTTTGTGCCATTCTCCTGACTCAGCCTCCCTATAGCTGGGACTATAGGTGCCCGCCACCTCACCCGGCTAATTTTTTGTATTTTTTAGTAGAGACGGGGTTTCACTGTATTAGCCAGGATGGTCTCAATCTCCTGACCTCGTGATCCGCCCATCTCGGCGTCCCAAAGTGCTGGGATTACAGGCTTGAGCCACCGCGCCCGGCCTAGGTGAGGGCCTTTCTTGGTACCTGACTGCCTCACCCACTCCCTCTCTCACACAGACTTTCCCCAACAAATACATACGAAAAAAATTGGCCGGGCGCGGTGGCTCAAGCCTGTAATCCCAGCACTTTGGGAGGCCGAGACAGGCGGATCTCGAGGTCAGGAGATCGAGACCATCCTGGCAAACACGGCGAAACCCCGTCTCTACTAAAAAATACAAAAAAAACTAGCCGGGCGAGGTGGCGGCACCTGTAGTCCCAGCTACTCGGGAGGCTGAGGCAGGAGAATGGTGTAAACCCGGGAGGCGGAGCTTGCAGTGAGCTGAGATCCGGGACACTGCACTCCAGCCTGGGCGACAGAGCCAGACTCCATCTCAAAAAAAAAAAAAAAAAGAAAAAAACTATAATTTTTTCAGCAGCAATAGACATAAATTAAAAACAAAAACAAAAACGGATGCAGTAGCTCACACTTGTAATCCCAGCACTTTGGGAGGCTAAGGCAGGCGGATCACCTGAAGTCAGGAGTTTGAGACCAGCCTGGCCAACATGGTGAAATCCCGTCTCCACTAAAATTACAAAAATTAGCTGGGCATGGTGATATGTGACTGTAGTCCCAGCTACTTGGGAGGCTGAGGCAGGAGAATGGTGTGAACCCGGGAGGTGGAGGTTGCAGTGAGTCAAGATCGTGCCACTGCACTCCAGCCTGGGCGACAGAGCAAGACTCTGTCTCCAAAAAAAAAACATTCTGAAAGGCAAAGAGAACCACCCACTGCAACACCTGACTATGAGCAGAGGTGGAGCTCCAAAAGCAGCAGAAGGCCCCAGCTCTTCACGTCCGTCACACACACCTGTTTCCCGGCCTCATGCTCACCAAAGTGGAAAACAGGTCTGTCACCTCCTGGCTTTGCCCCAGGTTCACAGTGCTTGGCAAAATCATTAATTGTTGTTTGGAGCAAACTGTCCAGTGAATGCCCACCCCATCGCGAGGTGCTGGGGGTGGGGGTGCAATGGCACTGCAAGGATCTGGGTGTCCTCAGCTTGGTCCAAAGCCCAGAGGTGATTTAAAGGGTGTGTGAATCGAGTTTCTGTGAACGCAAATATTTCTGGGAAAAAAATCCATGGCATCTGTCAGGCCCTCAAAGAGTCATGACCCCAAAATGGCACCAAGAGATAAACTTGCTCTGTGTGCCCAGCAGCCAGATCTGGCACCCTGACCCACACCACCCACAACGCGCTGACTGGCTGGCTGCACACACCTAGCCGTGGTCCTGCTGCACACACCTAGCCGCGGTCCTGCTGCACACACCTAGCCTGCACACACCTAGCCGCGGTCCTGCTGCACACACCTAGCCGCGGTCCTGCTGCACACACCTAGCCGCGGTCCTGCTGCACACACCTAGCCGCGGTCCTGCTGCACACACCTAGCCGTGGTCCTGCTGCACACACCTAGTCAAAGGGTCCTGCTGCACACACCTAGCCGCGGTCCTGCTGCACACACCTAGCCGAGGTTCGGCTGCACACACCTAGCCACGGTCCGGCTGCACACACCTAGCCGGGGTCTGGCTGCATAGACCTAGCCGCGGTCTGGCTGCATAGACCTAGCCGCTGTCTGGCTGCACACACCTAGCCGTGGTCCTGCTGCACACACCTAGCCGCGGTCCTGCTGCACACAACTAGCCGCTGTCTGGGTCATGGGCTTAAAAGAGGCAGCTACATCTGATCCCAAGCCTGTTCATACAAGTTGTACCTGTTGTTCTATGTAATAAGTATTAAACAAACTAATAAAACAGGAGTAAGAACCTACGCTGACCCACAGCCATCTCTGGCTTTGACTTGGAGCTCCCAGGATTACTACATTTTCTAAAATCAGTACCTTTGGAATTTTTGCTCCCAAGTCCTGATACTGCTTGGGATTCTTCAGGAAATTCACAAATTCCATGATTTCCAATTTGGCTTCTTCGCACCCAGCAACATCTGCAAATCGCACATCGATGTTGCTCTTTAAGATCTTGGCTGTTGTCTCACCAACACTGAAGAGGCCCCCTCCTCATCTACTGCGCCTGGCTCCCATAGGGCCCCTCCTGGCAGCATAGAGGAGAATGCCAACCAGGAGAAGGTTGGGCACCAGGCTTCGCAATAAAGAGCTGGAAAATCCAAGAGAACTACTTGTCACGCTCAGGAGGTCAGAAATAACACCTTTGTGCCAGGCACGGTGGGTCACGCCTGTAATCCCAGCACTTTGGGAGGCCACCGTGGGAAGATCTCTTGAGCCTAGCAGTTCAAGACCAGCCTGGGCAACATGGCCAGACGCTGTCCCTATAAAAAATATAAAAATGGCCGGGCGTGGTGGCTCACACCTGTAATCCCAGCACTTTGGGAGGCCGAAGCAGGTGGATCACCTGAGGTAAGGAATTCGAGACCAGCCTAACCAACCTGGTGAAACCATCTCTACTAAAAATACAAAAATTAGCTGGGCATAGTGGCGTGTGCCTGTAGTTCCAGCTACTCAGGAGGCTGAGGTGAGAGGACTGCCTGTGCCTGGGAGTTCAAGGCTGCAATGAGCCATGATTGCACAACTACACTCCAGCCTGGATGACAAAGCAAAACCCTCTTAGAAGAGACCGCTCTAGGACTTTGTTTTGCTACACAAAAGGGCGCAGGTTTTTTTCCTTTTTTTGAGATCGGGTCTCACTGTCACCCAGGCTCCTGAATAGCTTGAACCACAGGCATGCGTGCCACCACACCAGATATTTGTTTAACTTTTTATAGACACGCAGTCTCGTCTCACTACATTGTCCAGCTGGTCTCGAACTGCTAGTCTCAGGTGATCCTCCCTCCTCAGCCTCCCAAAGTGCTGGGATTACCTATGTGAGCCATCACGCCCGGCCCTCGTCCTTTTTTTTTTTTTTTTTTTTTGAGACGGAATCTCGCTCTGTCACCCAGGCTGGAGTGCAGTGGTGCGATCTCGGCTCACTGCAACCTCCGTCTCCTGGGTTCACACCATTCTCCTGCCTCAGCCTCCCAAGTAGCTGAGACTACAGGTGCCCGCCACCACGCCCGGCTAATTTTTTGTATTTTTAGTAGAGACAGGGTTTCACCCTGTTAGCCAGGATGGTCTCAGATCTCCTGACCTCATGATCCACCTGCCTCGGTCTCCCAAAATGCTAGGATTACAGGAATGAGCCACCACGCCCAGCCTCTTTTTTAAAAAATGTGTCAAAGTCCGTCCAGCACTAGGCCTCTCCAGTTCTGAAGGCTCTAGTCACAGGCATTTCTATCTCCCTGATGTAACCTGTGGCTGGCTTGGTGGGGCAGGGAGGGTGACCAATTCTACCACCCACCACCTCCCCCACCCGGCCAAGCAGCCCTGCTAGAGCTTACACCACATCTCCCCCAGGAGCCAGGAGGTGCCTCCAGCAGACCCAGCAAGGCCTCCTGGCATCTAGGGCCAACCGGGCTTGTTTGATCAGAGGAAGACACCAAATGTCTTCCTGCTTTATTTTTTATCTTTGCTCTTGCTCTTCAGAGGCCATCCCTTCTCCAGTGGCTCTGCAGTCCCTTTCAGCCCCACATACAACCAGGCATTCCCGGCAACTCAACAAGCAAAGACAGAACCCAAGTCAGCAATAAATAGCACCTAGATGACATCCAGGAGCTCCAGCAGGAGACCGCAGGCCTGAGCCCTGCCACTAGAATCTGAGAGTTAATCTCCAGATTTCTACCTGCCTCACCTTCTCTCACCCCACTGCGGCCCCTACTCTGTGCTTAAACATATGTCTCAAAGAAACCACCAAAACCACTACAATTCCAATTTTTACACCCTCCTGGCTAAAGCTGGTACTGGATTTGTACTCTCTCGGTTCAGTTTTCAATTCTGGGCAGAAGGGCCGGAGAAGACAGAGCAATGACATCCCCAGGATGTAAACATGAAAACAGGATCCACACTCAGCAACACTGACTTCTGTGCTGAGTCCTAGGATGCACAGAGTATTTCATCTGGTCTTTGCCCTCATGTCCATAATTACTTTAAGAACATACAATGCAGTGGAAATCCAAGATAACATGAGAACCATGGGAAGCTTAGAATGACCAAGTGTCGGGCAGGTGCGGTGGCTCACGCCTGTAATCCCAGCACTTTGGGAGGCCGAGGCGGGCAGATCACAAAGTCAGGAGATCGAGACCATCCTGGCTAACATGGTGAAACCCCATCTCTACTAAAAATACAAAAAAGTAGCCAGGCATGGTGGCGGGCGCCTGTAGTCCCAGCTACTCGGGAGGCTGAGGCAGGAGAATGGCGTGAACCCAGGAGGCAGAGCTTGCAGTGAGCCGAGACTGCACCACTGTACTCCAAGCCTGGGCGACAGAGCGAGACTCTGTCTAAAAAAAAAAACAAAACAAAAAGAATGACCAAGTGTCAGGTACTACACAGGATGACCAGGTGTCAGGTACTACATAGGAGCTGCAGAGTTGTATGCAGGGACCCCCAGCACCTGGGAGGATGGGTCAGGACTGCCCAACAGGGAGCCTGGGGAAGTCACAGGTGCACAAGCCCCACCTCTGGACATTAATTCGACAGTTCTGCAGGAGTGGCAGGTAGAAATGACAGAAGAGCATTTTGACACGGCTCCCGTAGTCATCCTGCTGCACAGTCAATTGTGGAAGGCTTCCTACAGGACTTCAGAGAATTTCTGCTACAACGAAGACACTCAAACGACTGGTTTTCTTTTTTAAGGCTGCGTAGCCAAATAGTTCCCTGCTTCAATTCTCTTCTCATGAAAAACAGAGTAAAAAACATATATATATACACATATATACACACACACCCATATATAAATGAAAGTATATATATATTTACTACAAGCATTGATTATAGATGCTTATAAGTTCGAGAAACACATTCCAAAACAGGTTAAACACTGCATTTTTGTTTTGTGTTCAAACACAGGCCCTTCACCATCCTCCTTACCCGTCACTCTCATTGGTGTAGACCACTGCTGCCTGGTTGGGGGGCTCGATCCCCAGCTCCCACTGAGCAGACTCCAGGTTCCGCTCAAAGGTGTCAACACTGCCAATGTTAAACCACACGAACTTCTGCAGAGAGCAAGAGCAAGCTTAGGGTGCATCACTGTGTCCCACACTGAGCCCCACCCTCACACATGCACCTCCCACTGCCTCTTCTCCTAGCCTTAATCTCCACAACATGGACGGGGCCTGCGCCGAGGCTAGCTCCAAGGGAAACTATACTAACAGCAGAAGACTCTGGTTTTGGCCCCACGAAATTACAGTCTTTAAGTTCTAGACAAAAGTGTAAAACGTCCAGCGACTGCTGGGGTGTGCCCTTGTCTCTTTTTCTTTTTGAGACAGTCTCCCTCTGTCACCTGGGCTGAAGTGCAGTGGGATGATCTTGGCTTACCGTAACCTCCACCTCCCGGGTTCACGCAATTCTCATGCCTCAACCTCCCGAGTAACTGGGATTACAGGCGCAGGACACCATGCCTGGCTAATTATTGTACTTTTAGTAAAGATGGGGTTTCACTATGTTGGCAAGGCAAGTCTTGAACTCCTGGCCTCAAGTGATCCGCCCACCTCTGTCTGCCAAAGTGCTGGGATTACAGACATGAGCCACCATGCCCAGCCGTTCCTTTTTGCTTTTTACTCTTTTATTTTTGTCTCTTCTCTCCCCACAATCCTCGGTAAGTTGTTCTCAGACACTGCATGGCAAATCTGAATCCTAGTTAGTCTTATAAGGGCTCCTGTCCTACTTGGAAAGCTTTCTTATTGATACATGCCAGTGAGAAAAAAAATCACATTAAAGAGTAGTTGATGGATACTAAGGGAGTATTTTACTGAAAAAAACTTATGTCTGGAGTACTCAGCCTCAAACTCACCCCTCACCTCAGAAGAGGTCCCAGAGGCAGGAATAACACGCACAAACTGTTTGTTCACGACTTCCAGCCGGTCCACCTGGGAAAAAGAAAAAAATAATCAGCACGGCTAAAGCAGTGAATATGATATTCAACAGTAAACAGGGCCTCACCCTCAGACCAGCCCACGGCTAAAGCAGTGAGTATCATATTCGATACTAAACCTCAGGCTTATCCTCAGACTAGTCCCACAGTGCAGACCGAGACTCTGACGGTGTCTGAGAAGCTGCATCCACTCTGCTGTGCAGATCCGAGTTTTGTTTTCCCACTGATTTGGACATTTCTAGCCTGGCCTGTGCATGTAATTCAGAGGATTTACAATTTGGTACATCTGAGATCTGAGCACCAAAGATTCCAGAGCACCAAAGATTCCGGAGTAACTTAAAACCTAAAAGGAAGGCTAGGCATGGTGGCTCAGACCTGGTACATCTGAGCACCAAAGATTCCAGAGTGACTTAAAAATCTAAAAGGAAGGCCGGGCGTGGTGGCTCAGACCTGGTACATCTGAGATCTGAGCACCAAAGATTCCAGAGTGACTTGAAATCTAAAAGGAAGGCTGGGCATGGTGGCTCAGACCTATAATCCCAGCACTTTGGGCGGCTGAGGAGGGTGGATCATTTGAGGCCAGGGGTTCGAGACCAGCCTGGCCAACATGGTGAAACCCTGTCTCTACCAAAAATACAAATATTAGTCGGATGTGGTAGTGTGCGCCTGTCATCCCAGCTACTCAAGAGGCTGAGGCAGGGAGAACTGCTTGAACCTGGGAGGCAGCAGTGGCAGTGAGCCAATATTGCACACTGCACTCCAGCCTGGGCAACAGAGTGAGGCTCCATCCAGAAAAAAATAAAAATAAAAATAAAAATCTAAAAGGTATAGAAGTCTCAGACTGACAATACAGCAAAGTCTTCCAGAACTCATCCAGAAACATTTCGCCCACACAGCTGCAGACAGCACAAGAAAATGGTGCCAAGAATGAAAACGCAACCCCAAAGGCCTCCATGCAGCCACCCAGCGGCGAACACAGCCTGAGAGCCGGTGTGCAGCAAAAGCACGTGAGGGGGCAGCCATTTCGTCAGGTATGATGACAACAGCGTTGCTCTTCCCCCTCCACAGTAACGGAAACCACAACGACACAACTTTTCTTGACTACTCAGGGTCATATGACCAACATCAACATGTTTATGACAGGTGTGTCTCAAGCCTAACACCACAACCGCGGCACGGTCAGCGTGTCAGACACCTGAAAAGGACCTCGCAGCTCTGGGATCTGTCCAGAACCCACACACCAGCAGGCATCGTGGGCCAAATTATCTCTCACCCCTCCTCACGGCAGCAGCTGTGGGTGAAGACCCACGGCAGAAAGGGCAGAGAGGGGCTACAGCAGCTCTCCCCTCCTCGCGTAAGGAGTCGTCAAGGACCTCTCTGAAGACAGCTTTGTGCCCTGTGGCCAGACAAAAAGGCCTTGGGTGGTGGTTCACAACTATAATTGCAGCACTTCAGGAGGCCGAAGTGGGAGCATCACTAGAGCCCAGGAGTCTGAGACCAGCCTGGGCAACATACGGAGACACTGTCTCTAAAAAAAGAAATTGCGGGCCGGGCACGGTAGCTCACGCCTGTAATCCTGGCACTTTGGGAGGCCAAGGTGGGAGGACTGCCTGAGCTCAGGAGTTCGAGACCAGCCTGGGCACCACAGTGAAACCCTGTCTCTACTAAAATACAAAAAATTATCAACCTCTACCTCCCGTGGAGGCGTGGTGACGTGCACCTGTAATCCCAGCTACTCATGAGGCTGAGGCAGGAGAATCACTTGAACCAGGGAGGTGGAGGTTGCAGTGAATAGAGATCACGCCACTGTACTCCAGCCAGGGCGACACAAGACTCCATCTCCAAAAAAAAAAAAAAAAATTATGTTTTTTATAGTTCCAGACACTCAGAAGGCTGAGGTGGGAGGCTGGCTTGGAACCAGAAGGTCGAGACTTCACATTACTGCACTCCAGCCTGGGTGACAGAGCAAGACCCTGTCTCAAAAAGAAAAAAAAAAAAAGGCCTTAGCCACAAACCTTGGTGGGAAAACAAGATTTTCCTACAGAAAGAAGTTCAGATCTTAACACTGCATCACTTAACAAACATCTTTCTGAGGGCAACTGAGAAGCACAGCACTTGCTCTCATGTAACTTTATACTAAAGCCTGAGCAGTGCTTCACCTGCCTTCAGCAACCTGACAGTCCCAGGCCCAGTGAAGGGCAGGCGGAGGCTTGTTGGTGCCATGTGCCCCTGTGCACAGACACAAAGCCCCCAACTACTGTCCAGGGCACTCAGCAGGGGACAGGGGTGCAGGAGTAGACAGGGGTACACTAGGGGAAAGAAAAGATCTGAATTAAATAAGAAATTGACACTTGATGATAAACAGACACAGACAATCAGAACTTACTCACAGAAGCTGAAGCTACAAAAAAAAAAAAAACAAAAAACACACAGATGTTAAGAAAGCTTCCACCCAGCACGAAAATGAGCTTACTCACCTTCTGTTGGGGTCACTCCTGGGAAAAGTAAAACTGTGTCTCATCTATGACCAGAGGGTGGGACTGCCCAGCACATCTACCACACAATGCGTTCTCAACCCAGGCCTCAGAGCTCACAGCTTCTTACGGGCATCGCAGACCACGTGTACACCACTACAGTGGCCTCTTTCCCAGGTAGGTAAACTATAAATGCCTCTCACCAGACCTCTGGCCAGGTAATACTGTACAAAGTGCTTCCACGTGATTTCTCTTCCAGGGTCTCGAAAATAGAGGTAGAAAAATCCCATGGCAACACCTGCCCCCAAAAGGGCCAGACTGCGGAAATTCTTGTCATCCCAGGGGAAGTCCCCCTGTGGGAAAAAGAAAACACATTTTCCAGTTAAATGAAGGTAGTTTCTTCATGAAAATGGCTATTTCCTTTTTCAGATGTTATTACAAAAGTTTTCCAACCCCCCTCTCCGGACCCTACACAATGTAGCCAGTTCCTCTCATGAGGAAAGATCTTCACATGGTGTATGAAACACACTGAAAGCCGCAGCTCACCAGATGCCCCAGGAGAAGCAGAAAGTCCACAAAGAGCGCTGTGTTTGAGCCACTGTTGCTAGGGTTATCACTCTTTTTTTTTTTTTTTTTTTTGAGACGGAGTCTCGCTTCATCGCCCAGGCTGGAGTGCAGTGGCACCATCTTGGCTCACTGCAAGCTCCGCCTCCTGGGTTCACGCTATTCTCCTGCCTCAGCCTCCGAGTAGCTGGGACTACAGGCACGCACCACCACGCCCGGCTAATTTTTTGTATTTTTAGTAGAGACGGGGTTTCACCGTGTTAGCCAGGATGGTCTCGATCTCCTGACCTCGTGATCCGCCCGTCTCGGCCTCCCAAAGTGCTGGGATTACAGGCTTGAGCCACCGCGCCCGGCCAGGGTTATCTCTTATGTGAGTCTGTTAAAATCCAGATAGAGGCCAGGCATGGTGACTCACGTCTGTAGTCCCAGCACTCAAGGAGGCCGAGGTGAGAGGATTGCTTGAGCCCAGGAGCTCGAAACCAGCCTGGGCAACATTGGGAGACCCCGTCTCTACAAAAAATTTAAAAAAAATTAGCCAGGAGTGGTAGTGGAAGCCTGTGGTCTCAGCTGCTCTAGAGGCTGAGGTGGGAGAATCATCTGAGCCTGGGAGGTCAAGGCTACAGTGAGCAGTGATCGTATCTGATCATATCCCTGCACTCTAGCCTGGATGACGAGTGAGACCTTACCTCAAAAAATAATAATAATAATAAAATCCAAATAGAAATCTCAGCACTTTTCTTTTTTTTTTTTTTTTTGAGGCAGGATCTTACTTGGTCACCCAGGCTGGAGTGCAGTCACACGATCATGGTTTACTGCAGCCTCAACTTCCCGGGCTCAAGCAATCCTCCTGCCTCAGCCTCCTGAGTACCTGGGACCAGAGGTGCATGCCAGCACGCCTGGCTTTTTTTTTTTTTTTTTTTTTGTAGAGACGAGGTCTCGCTATGTTGCCCAGGCTGGTGTTGAACTCCTAGGCTCAAATAATCCTCCCACCTCCCAAAGTGCTGGGATTACAGGCATGACCCACTGCACCCAGCCTCAGGACATTTTTACAAACTAACTTCTTTGAAATTTATGAACTAATTCAACAGCTCACCTTTAAACAAGCAGAAAGATTGATGTGGGTTTGAATTTATGTGTTCTCCCATAATTTCCATGTTGGACCTCAACCCCTAAGGTGAAGGTATTAAGAGATGAGGCCCCTGGGAGGGGATTAGGTCCTAACAGCTCTGCCTTCACCAATGGGATTGGTGCCCTCACAACCCGTCGCCCAGGCTGGAGTGCAGTGGTGTGATCATGGCTCACCACACCCTCAACTCCCACGTTCATGCAATCCTCCCGCCTGAGCCTCCTGAGTAGTGGGGACTACAGGCACACGCCACCACGCCTGGCTTATTCTTGTATTTTTTGTAGAGACGAGGTTTCACCATGTTGTCCACGTTGCAACCTTGTACCTCCAGCCTCCACAACCATGAGCAGTAAATGTATCCTGTTTATAAATTATCCAGTCTGATGTATTCTGTTACAGCAGCAGGCGTAGACAAAGATGCACACAAACCTTCTGCATCTGCCTCCACCAGGCAACGTCATCCCGCTTCCCTCCTCTCCTGCCTCCATCTCCCCCAGGCTCGGCATTCTTTGGCTCACCAGTCTCTGAGAGAAAACAAAGTCTGACTTCAAAAAGCAATTACATATAATTTTCCAGAGAAAGAGGACTCAGAAAACAGGAAAACACTTTCCAACACACAATTTTAATAACACCAGTGCCTTCTGGAAATAAACAGACACCAGGAAAAGGATGAGGCTGGGGAGATACTGCTGAGAAGTGGCTTCAGACACATCTAAAATCCCTAAAATTTCACCTTGTTGGCTTAATGTTGAGCTTTAATAGCAAACTTTTTTGGGGTAACAGTCCCAAAATTGGCTGTAATTAGAGGAAAGAAAGAAAGGAAGAAAATGATAATAAGGCAGACTGGTATGGGTGGTCCCCCTTCTCAAGAGAACCAGGGAACACAAACCACCTGTTCTAAGCAGAGTCTGCCTCTCCTCCAAAAAATCTGGCCTCCTACGTACACCTGTGACCCACGGACCTACCAGCCTCCTCCTGTAACGTTCCAGGACAAGTTCCAGGACAAGTAAGCTATGACACTGTCCACTTCACAAATACAGTGCTACTCCAACAACCGCAAAGTAACAACATGAAAGGCCAGAGAAGGCCAAGGTGACCCCAGGAATGGCAAACATATTACAAGATGGAGTAAAAATTTGCATAAATGTTAAGGACAAACATGAGTCTTCATAGACACACTGCTTGGCCGGGCGCAGTGGCTCACACCTGTAATCCCAGCACTTTGGGAGGCCAAGGCGGGCAGATCACGAGGTCAGGAGATCAAGACCATCCTGGCTAATACGGTGAAACTTCGTCTCTACTAAAACTACAAAACAATTAGCTGCGCGTGGTGGTGGCGCCTGTAGTCCCAGCTACTCGGGAGGCTGAGGCAGGAGAATGGCGTGAACCCGGGGGGCGGGGCTTACAGTGAGCCGAGATCACGCCACTGCACTCCAGCCTGGGCGACAGAGCGAGACTCCGTCTCAAAAAAAAAAAAAAAAAAGAAAAGCAACCATACTGTCAAGTCGCTATAGAGAAAGTGAGAGACAGGACAGTTTTCCCTCCTCCTGTCTCTCTCTTCTCGCTTCATACAATCAGCAGGTGCCCTCAGGTCCTAACAATGAGGCAAGTGCAGGGAGCACCTTCTACTCTGTGGGGACACAGGGTCTCCAGGGACTTCAGTGGACGCTGTCCCTGGACACAAAGCACAAAGCCCAGGTCCATGGCCTACAGAAGGACTCCAAGTGGGCAAGTGTGCTCTGAGCTAATGACAGTCTGCACATTGTTTTTGTTCTGCTTTCCAAACACGAGGCTTAGCTGGTCCGCAGAGTAAGATATGCAGAAACCAAGGTTTGTTCCCATGCCTTCCAAAAGATTAATCTAGCACCTTCCTTTGGAAAGAGCTTTTCTCTCACCAGCTTTACTGAGATATCAACACCATAAAGACATGGAGAAGGTGTTGGACGTTGTGTGTCTCAGTATGGAAGCCAGGAAGGGGCAGAATGGGGCGGGGTGGAGGGGGGTGTGCCCTGAGTTGTCTTGATCCTCACCCCCTGGTCACTCACTGTAAAAGTCACACTCAGCTCCTATAAACCTCATGCTGCTAATGATGGTAGATGAAAGACAGGTACCTTTGGGTGGTTTTGAACACAGCCACCAGGAAAAAAACGTTGATCTCGCCTGCAGAGTCGGTTTCTGAAAGTGGATCCCCCGGAGGCACTGAAACAAGACACCAGATGAGCTTATCAGCTTCTTATTCAATACAACACTGCACATTCTCACTGGCCACAACCACAGGAGGAAGCAGGACGAGGTGTGAGCTTATTGCCTTAAATATCCCATTAGAAATACTAAACAAACAAGTTCACTGCAGAAATGCACTGCAAATTTTTATAGCAATAGCCTCCAACAGCAAGCAAAAAGCTCCCCAAAAAACAAAAAACATGGCTAGGAAACGGAGGCAACTTTATTTAGCAACTTAAAATATTGCAGCTTCAAAAATAAGACTGTAAAACTAAAACATACAAATGTGTAAAATTTAAATACTGAAATATACTATGACTCATCTTCGGTCAACCAAGAGGTTAATTTATTTTCTTTTCTTTCTTTTTTTTTTTTTTTTTTTAATGAGACCAAGTTTTGCTCTTGCCCAGGCCAGAGTGCAGTGGTGTGATCTCAGCTCACTGCAACCTCCGCCTCCAGGGTTCACGCCATTCTCCTGCCTCAGTCTCCCGAGTAGCTGGGATTACAGGCGTCCACCACCTTGCCCGGCTCATTTTTGTATTTTTAGTAGAGATGGAGTTTCACCATGTTAGTTAGGCTGGTCTCGAACTCCTCACCTCAGGTGACCTGCCCACTTTCACCTCCCAAAGTGCTGGGATCACAGGCGTGAGCCCAGCCTCTTTTTTTTTTTTTTTTTAAGATGGGATCTCATTGGAGTGCAGTGGCTATTCACAGCAGGGACAACAGGCAGGTAATATGGCATCCAGCAAGAGGTAAAAGTTTTTGTCAGGCCAAGAAAACAATTTTTCCAGCAGCTCTGTATTTTCTTCAGTCTTCAAGGAGGAAAACGTCCACCAGGTACCGTGGCTCATGTCTGTAATCTCAGCACTTTGGGAGGCTGAGGCAGGAGGATCACGTGAGGTCAGGAGTTCGAGACCAGCCTGGCCAACATGGTGAAACCCTGTCTGTACTAAAAATACAAAAATTAGCCGGGCATGGAGGTGGGCGCCTGTATTCCCAATTACTCGGGAGGCTAAGGTAGGAGAATTGCTTGAACCTGGGAGGCGGAGGTTGCAGTAAGCCGAGATTGTGCCACTGCACTCCAGCCTGGCGACAGTGAGGCTCTGTCTCAAAAACACACACACATATATAAAAAAACAAAATCTAAGTACTCAATAACCCAGTACTAACTGTATCCAACAAAATCCCACCATAGCCAGTGAATTTATATTGTCCCCAATATTTTATTTATTTATTTATTTTTGAGACAGTCTTCCTCTGTCACCCAGGCTGGACTACGGTGGCATGATCTCAGCTCACTGCAACCTCTGCCTCCTGGGTTCAAGCAATTCTCCCTATCTCCCAAGTAGCTGGGATTACAGGTGTACACCACCACGCTGGCTAATTTTTGTATTTTTATTAGAGACAGGGTTTCACCATATTGGTCAGGCTGGTCTTGAACTCCTGACCTCAGGTGATCTACCTGCCTCAGCCTCCCAAAGTGCTGGGATGATAGCCGTGAGCCTCCAATATTTTGTTATCATGAAACAAGACTCATAGTTGACAACACCTGTGTTATTTCAGCTGTGTCAACATTCAGGGTGATGCGGACTCTGTAGGCTATTACCCCAAAGTAAACTCATTCCCCCATTAGTAACTTTCTAATTAACTACATTATTCAAATATCCCTGTAAAAGACCACAGTAGACTAAAACGTAAGACATGCTATGAAAAAGATATTAAAATCAGGAAAATTAAAAAAAGCAGCTCAGAAAGAGAATGCTGACAGTAAAGGCTGTGGGGCTAGCAAAGGCTCCCACATCATGAATGAAATCCATCTGCGGCAGCCATCCCAGCACCAGCGGCGCACGGTACCTGACACAGAGCGAGCAATGACTCTCCAAGGGTCCCATGAATGTGTGTTTCCCCGATGGGGGTTTGGAACCCAAGGCGTGGATCAACAGGAAACCTACACAAAGAACAGAAGGCGGTCGTACTGCACATTGTAGGGTGCCAAGTGCCTCTTACCTCACTTGATCCCCACTGCCCATCTGAGAAAGCAGAAATTGAGAGGTAATGTGAGTGCCTGAAGACAGCTGGTCGCTGAAGGTGTGCAATGAGAATTCTGATGCCCCAATCTTCCAGGGCTTTTCCAGGACCACCCCAAAGACAGCGTGGCGCTGGTCCTGGTGGCTGGGTAGATACCAGGTAGCCTACAGCCCTGAAGGTACAAAGTATGACTCTTCAGGCTTCCAAAACTTGATAAAACATCCAATTGCTCCTTTGCTTTAATTCACTATTTAGTCCTTTTGTGATTTGGTTAGGACACAATCTGGTTAAGTCAGATGTAGTTCTCACAGTAAACGTAAACACTGAGACAGAAGTCTACCATTCCTTCTTAGAGTTTTCCGCAAGTCAGTTCACAGCTTACAATAGATAATCTTGCTAAATTAGTTTTTGTATATGCAAAGCTAAGATGTGAAGGTGGGCAAAACACAAACTCCCTTAAACAGGGCAAAGTGCTGCTGTCCTCTTTCCAGTCAGACCATAAATGAGTTGACCCTTATTCTGGGTCCCACAGACGCACACACAGCACACAGGTGCAACCTCAGCAGGTCTATGAGGCCCTGCCCCTCCTTGGCCTCACTGTCTCTCACTAAACTCTTCCTCATGCTGATCACACAAACACAAGGCTGGACCTACCCTAGGGCAGGGCACTTTCTATTCCATTTTCCGAGCAAGCTCATCTCAATCCCTCACTTCCTGCAGGAGACACAACAAGTAACAAGGTTTATCCCTCCTCTATTCCCTTTCTTCATTTTCTATTTCCTTTATTCTGCTTCCTTTCCTTACATGCCTAATACTTGCTTATTTATTGTCTGGTTCCTCCTTGCACAGCACGTAAACTCCATGAGAACAATGGATAGAGTAGATAGCTCAATTAATGAAAGATGACTGCATGGAAGCCTACACAACATAAGCGTCCATGAAGAGAGCTGTTACGGCGTTTTTTCTGTTTTGTTTTCTTTTGAGACGGAGTCCCACTCCCAGACTGGAGTGCAACGGCGTGACCTTGGCTCACCGCAACCTCCGCCTCCCAGGTTCAAGCAATTCTCCTGCCTCAGCCTCCCAAGAAGCTGGGATTACAGGCGCATGCCACCACGCCCGGCTAATTTTATACTTTTAGTAGAGACGGGGTTTCTCCACATTGGTCAGGCTGGTCTCCAACTCCCCACCTCAGGTGATCCACCCGTCTCGGCCTCCCAAAGTGCTGTGATTACAGGCACGAGCTACTGTGCCCGGCCGTCTCTACTAAAAATACAAAATCAGGGCCGGGCGCGGTGGCTCAAGCCTGTAATCCCAGCACTTTGGGAGGCCGAGACAGGTGGATCACGAGGTCAGGAGATCGAGACCAGCCTGGCTAACACGGTGAAACCCAGTCTCTACTAAAAAAAAAAAAAAAAAAAAAAGTACAAAAAACTAGCCAGGCGAGGTGGCCGGTGCCTGGAGTCCCAGCTACTCGGGAGGCTGAGGCAGGAGAATGGCATAAACTCGGAAGGCGGAACTTGCAGTGAGCCGAGATCCGGCCACTGCACTCCAGCCTGGGCGACAGAGCGAGACTCCGTCTCAAAAAAAAACAAAAAACAAAAAAACAAAAATCAGCTGGGTGTGGTGGTGGGCGCCTCTAATCCCAGCTACTTGGGAGGCTGAGGCAGGAGAATCGCTTGAACCTGGGAGTCGGAGGTTGCGGTGAGCCGAGACTGCGCCACTGCACTCCAGCATGGGCAACAAGAGGGAAACTCCATCTCAAAAAAAAAAAAAAAAAGGCAAATTGCTGCCACCTCTCCAACTTCTGCATGTCACCCTCAGTCCACAAGTCATTAAGCTCTCAAAGGAGAGCAAGCCAGTGGGGCAGAGCCCTTGCCTGTTGTGTTCACCGAGACATTCCCTGGTAGATGATTAACAGATCTATCTCTAGTAAATGAGATACAGATGAATGACCCAGTCTGGGAAGGAACTCAAAGATCACTCAACGTCCGTCCTCCCTTCATAAAGGGGTCTATAGCAGTTCAATGATTCAAAACTCTCCTGGGCTGTATTAGGCTGTACACACTGATATTGTACATTGCTGACTTTCAACATGTGTTAACCACCAGGAGGGCCTCTGCAATGCCGATGCCACATGGCCACAGGTGAAAGACTGCTTTCGCTCATATTGCTAGAAACAAAACCATCACACAGCTTCCCAAATGAATGGAGATGAAGGGAAAGTTCATTCCTGAAGACAGGACAGAAATACTCATGGAACCCTTCTTCTTCTTTTACTACTGTCTGAAAACCATGACAGCTTTCTGGGATCAAAATTCAAAAACTCTGCATTAGAAAAAAAAATTCAACGTTACTGCTGCCCACTGGGATGTAGCAACATAAAAATAAAGCAATCTTAAAATATAGAATATTCCGGCCTTAGACCATAACCCTATAAAAAACAGGGTTATGAGCAGGGCACGGTGGCTCAAGCCTGTAGTCCCAACTACTCCAGAGGCTGAGACAGGAGAATCGCTTGTGCCCATGAGTTCGATTCCAGCCTAGACAACACAGCGAGACTCCGGCCCCGCCCCCAAATTTAAAAAATAATACAATAAATTACAAAAGGGTTACAGCCACATCTACCTACAGGGCGAGTGTAAGACAATCCGCGTAAAGCCCTTAGCTCTCAGTATTAGCTGTTAGGACAGTGACTGGTCGCTGAATGAAGAACAGTTTGCAAAACCCTTTCACGCCTCTCATGGTATCTGGTCCACTGAGTAACTGTGAGGTGGATACAGCCGAATGCCGCCGAGCCCAGGACGAAACGGGCCGGCACGCGGGGCCACAACGTTGGTTCGCGAGCAGGTGGGACTCAAGCGCAAACCGCTCAACGCCCGGCTCTCTACAGAGCCCAGCAAGGAGGCTGCAGGTCCCGGTTCCGATGTCCGAGGTGAGCGGGCATCCAGGAAACCCCGGGAATTCCGCAACAAGTGGGTGGAAGAGGCAGCGGGGAGAAGAGGGGTTTGGAGACGGAGGGGGCGCCCGGGAGGAGGCGGGCGGCGGGAAGCTGCGGCCAGGGGCTGCCGGCCTCACTGTGCGGACCGGGTCAGGGCCGCCGCGCTCCCGCGCTCCCCCGCGGCCGGCGCAGGCGAATGGCGTCACGCGTCGTGCAGCGCAGACCAGCCGCCCGGAACCGGCGGACAGCGCCTCCTCGCTCACCTGCCGGGCCGTGCCCAGGGCCCTCGCGCTGGTCTTGGCCGTCCTGCTGCCTCCTGGACCACCACATCGCCACAGCAAGGCCAGTGGCCCGGCCACCGCTCTACTGCCAGCCGCCGCCAGCGGCCGGTACCACATCCCCAGACCCAGACCCCGCGCCGCCCGAGCGCGCGCATGCACAACGGGAGAGCGGTCCTACGGCCCCGCGAGCACAAGGAGGTCTCGCGCATGCGCAGCAGGGCCGCGGCGCCGGCTGGGGCCCCGTCTTGGGTGTCCACGCCGTCGCCTGACAGTTCGAGGCTTTGATCGCGAGCGCAGCCTCGTCCTGCCCAGACAGCTGGGCGCTAAGGGGATACCCAGCGCCTTTAGGCTTATCTTAAATCGGGCATCTGCATCCACACTTATTTCTGGGATCCTCCACGGAAAGCAGCTCCCGAGACCGAACAGCCGCCCGGCCCGCCCTCCGCTGCAGTAGAACCGCCCCGGGACGTTGCTGCCGCAGGGTCCCCCTCACGGAGTTCCGTTTGTCTGCTTGGTTGGTTGCAACCTTCTCTGGAGCCCCAGAACCCAGGCCGCTTGTGTGTGCCTGCGGCCGCACGGCCCCAGCACGCGGACCTGGAGCGGCACCGGGAGACCCGCGCGGCCTCCTCGGAGTGGACAGTGAAGCAGCGGGGCTGGGCAGTGGGGCTGGGCCTGCCCATGGCGACCCGTCCACGTCTCCAGGACATCAGCCTGCGCCTCTTCGCAGCCTCGTTTTCTGTTTACCGAGTTCTGCAGGGGGACGTAGAGGAACCACAGCCTTCTTGCACTTGAGACCGCTGTGATTTTCTGACATTTTGGAGGCAGAAAGGCCTGGGAAAAGGCCCACAGATGCAACTGTCATCCCTAGTGCAAAAAGGGAACGGAAAGTGATTACCCTTGACCTCCAATTGGAAGTGTTACGACGATTTGAAGTGGGTGAGAAGCTCAGTCAGATCGCAAAGGCCTTAGGTCTTGCTGTCTTTACAGTGGCGACCATCTGAGATAGTAAAGAAAAAAATCAAATCGAGTTCTCAAATAGCTACTCCTTTGAGAGCCTCACGGTTGACTCGCCATCGAAGTGCAGTGATGGAGAGTATGGAGCGGCTGCTGAGCTTGTGGCTGGAAGACCAGAGGCAGCGAAATGCGCCCTTGAACGCCGCCATCGTTCAGAAGGCTAAGTTTGATGACTTACAGCGTGAACGTGGCGAAAGCTCTCAAGCGGAGAGGCTTCGTGTGAGTAAAGGGTGGCTTGTGAGATTCAAGGAGCGCCACTGTTTGTCCCACTTCAAGTTAAACAGCGCAGTTCCCAGCAACAAGAACATGTACACAGAAATGCTGAAAAGCATCATCGAAGGTGAGTACGCCCCCCAGGTGTCTTTAACGTAGATGCGACAGGACTTGATTGGAAGAGAATGCCCGAAGAAACGTTCACTTCCGAGGAGGAGAATGCTGAGCCAGGGTTTAAGTCATCCAAAGATCGCTTGATGCTGCTGCTTGGTGGCAGTGCCACTGGGGACTTGAAGTTGAAGCCCTTACTGGTGTACCGCTTGGAAACCCCCAGGGCTCTGAAGGGGTACTCGAAGCCCAATTTGCCCGTGATTTGGCGCTCCAACAGAAAAGCTTGGGGGACCAGGAGCATCTTTCATGAATGGTTCGCTTACTTTTTTTGCCCTGCCGTTGAAAAATACTGTGCCCAAAATAATCTCACCAACAAAGCGTTGCTCATACTAGACAATGCGTCATGCTACCCTGTAAATTTGAGCGATGTTTCTGATAACATAAGAGTATAATACATTCATGACGGTACAACTGACTCGATCCAGCCCATGTGTCAAGGTGTAGCCTCTGCCTTCAAAGCTCACTATCTGAGGACTTTTGAGCACATCCTAGAAGCAACAGATGGTGAGGATACAGCTATGATCAGGGAATTTTGGAGAAACTACAGCATCATGGATGCTGTGGACAACACTGCTGTACTTGAGAGGAGCTCAAACCAGCGATAATGAACAGCGTGTGGGAGAAGATTTGGCCTGAGTGTGTTCAGGCCCAGCATTTTTCCCAGGCAGATAACATTGCACAGCTTTAAAAAACCATTGTGACCCTTGCCAGAAATGTGGCCTTTGAAGAGGTTGCTGAGGCTGCTGTGGACCAGTTGCTGCAGTCCCATGAAGATCTCTCAAATGAGGAACTAATGCAGCTGGAACAGGAGCCGGCAGTGGGGGAGGAGGAGAGGGAAGATGGTCCCTGGGCGCTGCGGCAGTTAACCACAGGAAGACTGTCGGCAGCCCTCTCGCATTTCGAGGCTGGCTTGGAGGTCCTTGCTAGTAACAACCCTAATGATGAAAACTTAAGAGTTTCCAGAGCTATCGATGATGCAATAAACTGCTACCAGAAGCTGTACAATGAGAAAAAGCACTGTTCAAAACAACTCTCTTAGATCATTTTTCAATGTGTGTAACCAAAAGTTAATCAGAATAAAGCAGAAGCACCATGACGACCTCAACAGTGGAGACCCAGCCAGGCCTCTCTACTCTGCAGTGTTCGACATCCCTGGAAACCTTGCTGTTGGTATTTCCATTTTGATGCTTGAGAGTATCAAATTTTGTCATTAAAATGTTATTTAAATATATGCTTTGAAAAGCTCATATATGTGTAAGAATCGCCAGGAAAACTTTTTTTTTGAGACAGGGTCTCTCTCCATCATCCAGGCTAGAGTGCAGTGGCGCAATCTTGGCTCACTGTAGCCTCGACCTCCAAAGCTCAAGCAATCCTCACACCTCAGCCTCTGGAGTGCTGGGACTACAGGCACATGCCACCACCCCCAGCTAATTATTTTGGTAGAGAAGGAGTCTATATGTTGCCCAGGCTAGTCTGGAACTCCTGGACTCAAGTGATCTTCTAGCCTGGGCCTCCAAAAGTGCAGGGATTGAAAGTGTGAACCACCATGCCCAGCAGAAGACGTTTGTTAAAAAAGAAAAATTGAGGCCAGGCATGGTGGCTCACGCCTGTAATCCCAGCACTTTGGGAGGCCAAGGCGGGCGGATTGCGAGATCAGGAGATCGAGACCATCCTGGCTAACACCATGAAACCCCATCTCTACTAAAAAAAATACCAAAAAATTGGGCATGGTGGCAGGTGCCTGTAGTCCTAGCTACTCGGGAGGCTGAGGCAGTAGAATGGCATGAACCTGGGAGGTGGAGCTTGCAGTAAGCCAAGATCGCGCCACTGCATTCCAGCCAGGGTGACAGAACGAGACTCCGTCTCAAAAAAAAGAAAAAGAAAAATTGCAGAGGGGAGACTAGCCCTTCCAGACATTAAAACTTAGATGAAATAAACATTAATCAATGTGACCATATAAAAATGTAAGCAAAATAAAACTTTGCCATAGGAAAGAAAATACCACAAAGTCAAATGGCAATTCATAAAGAAAATATTTACATCTCACAAATAACAGGCTAATATCCCCAATATGTGAGAAACTCAGAAGATTAAGAAGAAAAAATACCAAGAACCCAATCGAAAAAATGGGCACAATAATTCATAAATAAATTAGATCCTGAAACATATGAGAAGTTTGACCTCACTCATGATTAGAGAAATGCAAATTAAAATGACAAATACACATTTCTCACACTGCATGGAAAGGTATGACCACACAATCTGTTGTTGAGGCTATAGGGTAATGGGCATTGTCATACACTGTCGGTGGGAACGCCCTTCTGGAAGGACATCTGACACTTAAGAAAAACTGATGCCTGGCCGGGCGCCGTGGCTCACGCCTGTAATCCCAGCACTTTGGGAGGCCGAGGCAGGCAGATCACCTGAGGCCAGGAGTTTGAGACCAGCCTAGCCAACATGGTAACACTGTCTCTACTAAAAATACAAAAAGTTAGCTGGGCGTGGTGGCATGCACCTGTAGTCCCAGCTACTCGGGAGGCAGAGGCAGGAGAACAGCTTAAGCCCGGAGATGTTCAACAAGTCTGTGTGACACCACCACAGGTCGTTCTCCCAACCGATCAGGACGTGTTATTTCACCTCACACCATATTACACTCAACCCCACTGGATGGCAAAAGCTGTCTTTCCTAAGCCTGCAAATGACTTGTATGTCAACAAACCAATTTCTCTTACTTTGTCCCCAATTCACCACACACACACCAGGCGAAAGGACATACATTTAATGAGACAGTGACAGCAGCATTGTTACAACTGGGCATCCCTCAGGCCAGCTTGGTCCCGTGCTGTGGGACCACCCATGGTGTGGGTGCTGACGGTGCAAACTGGGTCCTTGCTGGGCTTTTCCTGCTGTGCTACAGACTCAGACAAAGACCCATACATGATTCTGTTTACAGACTCTGTCACCCAGAAGGGGCAGGTGGGGGAGATGCTGGGTGGAGGTAAAAATTAAAGGGGCCCAACCCTTTGTCCACCAAATGCCAGCATAGTTTTTCTATGGACACAGTGATTTGTAACTTGGATAATGTGAAGTTGATCACACAGATTTCGGAATGGCTAATATCTGTATGACATACACAGATTTCGGAATGGCTAATATCCGTATGACAGAAGTGTGGTGCAATCACGAGACGTGTGCAGACTTCGGGGTGTTGGGAAACAGCATTTGGCCTTTAACCCCCTCCTCAGCCCCAAAGAGGAAGGGGAAGCAGGACAAGAACCCACACTGTTGATCCAACCTCACATCACACTCTCTAAAGGACTCCAACGTGTTCCCTGCTCACCTTGCCGCCTGAGGTAGGTCAGTACCCCTGCCCCCATTTTCCAGATGGGGAAACCGAGGCAGAGCAGACAGTAAGAACCTCGCCTAAAGCCACCACAGTCGGAAGAGGACACCATCCCCTTCCTGATGGCGGAGGGCAAAGAGGAGACCCTGCCGTCTCTCCCGCTCCTGGAATGAGTCAGTGAGCTGGGTGGCCTTTCTGCTGGCTGAGGTGTCTCCTCTTGGGCTTCCTGGTCAAAGGGGACAAATATCCAAGCAGTGACATTTTCTCTGCCCTCTGCCCACCATGTGTGCCAACCATGTGCACCAACAGCCAAGTGCAGTCCGGGGTGTGGGGGAAAAGGACAGACAGGAGCACCCCTACTTCCCAAGGTAGAAGGCTGGGAAGCCATGTCCTGACATGTCCTCTCCTGAGGCCCCTCGTGGACCGCAGGATCTGTAAAGTGCAAACACCAAAGCCAAGTGTCCCCTCACCCAGAGCTGTAGGTTTCCTCTGCTGTCCAGGGGCCTCTGTCCTGTGGAGTGAGGGACCTCCCACACGCCCCTGCCCTGATCTTCCTGAATGGGCTGTCAAGCAAATACTCTCAGCTCTTGACCTCAGGCCCCCAAACAAAAGGCCACTGGCTGGTCGTTTCCGAGCTATCTAGAGACCTCCACAGGCAGCAGAACAGAGTTCCTCAGGCAAATCTGGTTCCGAGAAATGCCACCAGACCCTTGTAGGATCCCATCGCCTAACTGAGACCTCCCACAGCACACAGTCCCTGCTCCACACCTGGAGGCCAAGACGAGACTCCCAGCACACAGTCCCTGCTCCACACCTGGAGGCCAGGAACTGAGACCTCCCACAGCACACAGTCCCTGCTCACACCTGGAGCCAGGAACTGAGACCTCCACAACACCTGATCCCTGCTCACCTGGAGGCCAGGGAACTGAGACCTCCAGCACACAGTCCCTGCTCCCACACCTGGAGCCAGGAACTGGAACCTCCCACAGCACACAGTCCCTGCTCCACACCTGGAGGCCAGGAACTGAGACCTCCACCAGCACGACTCCCTGCTCCACACCTGGAAGGCAGAACTGAGACCTCCCAGCACGGTCCCTGTCCACCTGGGGGCTGGGGAACTGAGACCTCCCACAACTTCCCAGTCCTGCTCCACACCTGGAGGCCAGGAACTGAGACCTCCCACAGCACACAGTCCCTGCTCACACCTGGAGCCAGGAACTGAGACCTCCCACAGCACACAGTCCTGCTCACACCTGGGAGGCCAAGACTAGGACCTCCACAGCACACAGTCCTACTCCACACGGAGGCCAGGGCTGAGAACCTCCCGCACAGTCCTGCTCCACCTGGGGCAGAACTGAGACCTCCCACAGCACACAGTCCCTGCTCCACACCTGGAGGCCAGGAACTGAGACCTCCCAACCACACAGTCCCTGCTCACACACCTGGAAGCCAGGAACTGAGACCTCCCACAACACACACAGTCCTGCTCACACCTGGAGGCCAGGAACTGAGACCTCCACAACACACACAATTACCTTACACACACACACAGAGGCACAGGAGAAGCTGAGACCTCACAACACACAGTCCTGCTCCACCTGGAGGCCAGGGCTGAGACCTCCCACAGCACACGGTCCCTGCCTCACATGATGAGGCCCCAGACCTCCCATACAGTCCTGCTCCACCTGGGCCGGAACTGAGACCTCCACAGCGCCACAGGTCTGCTCCCTTCCTGAGCCAGGAACTGGACCTCCACAACCCCACACAGTCCTGCTCTCCACACCTGGAGACAGAACTGAGACCTCCCACAGCACACACGATCCTGCTCACACCTGGAGGCCAGACTGGGCTTCCCCTGCTTTGGGCCCTGCTCCACTGGAGGCCAGGAACTGAGACCTCCCACAGCACACACACAGTCCTGCTCACCTGGAGGCCAGAACTGATGCTCCACACCTGGAGGCCAGGAACTGAGACCTCCCACAGCACACAGTCCCTGCTCCACACCTGGAGGCCAGGAACTGAAACCTCCCACAGCACACAGTCCCTGCTCCACACCTGGAGGCTAGGACACCCTCCTCAGGCTGGGGGCCATGGCCTCCTAGCTTGGAGCACCAGGAAAGGGGCTGGGCCAAGGCAGGAGCGCCCAGCAGGGAAAAGCTCCACGGCCCCCTTCCCTGCTGTTCTACAGAAACAACAGGTAGCCCCACTGGACTGACCACCCAATGAGGCCTTTGAATCTCAGGCCAGGGTAGAGGCAGGTCTACAGGTGACAACTGTGAACAGCCCCAGCTGGGGACAACCAGAAGTCCCCAAGGCGACAAGTGGCTGAAAGGGATGGAGCCTCCAGGCCGAGCCGAAACCCCACTGCAGGTGAGACTCAGCCCTTGGCTGCGTGTGCGCAGCCACATCCTCAGGTGTTACTCAACACTCCTCTGAAGCTCTCCTGGATTCTTGGCCTGATGAGTTTCCAGGGTGGCCAGGACGGGAGCTGTGGAATCTCTAGGGCCCAGATGCCCTGGTCTAGGGGTGTGGCGGGTTCTGTGCCATGGGGGAGGTGAGATGTCCCCCCAACTCCCTGCCCATTGGGGGAAGGATGGGGGCCACGCAATGACCCCTCACAGCAGCACACCCAGGTGCAGCCGCCTCGAGTCCCAGCAAGCACCTGGGAGACAACGGTCCTCGACACTGCCCACCCAGCAGGGGTGGAGGGGTCCAGGGGCCACACCCCAGCGGTCTCCAGAGCAGGACGAACAACTTGACGTTGGCAGGGTGGGTCCCGGCGGGCCAGGCAGGGTGCCCAGCACTCTTCCTCAGTGCTAGGCCTCCACATCGGGACCTGGCTCCTGGAAGAGCGACTGCTTCCTCAGGCTGAGCCGGGCACACTTGGGGCACGTGGTAGAGTTGTCGTAGTAGCAGTCCCTGGGGGCAGAAACAGGTTGGGGCTCTCTGCACAGGAAACTCCAGCACTGAACCCCCCAAGCATCCTAGATCAGCTCCTGTCATCCCCTCTACAGCCACCACCAAAGGGCAGAATCGGAGTCTGCACCCAGATGCAAATGACTGTATGGCCGTGTGAAGAGCGCTTCCCGGCGTGCAGATGTGGACCTCCAGGGGGTCCTCACGTTCCCTGCTATCCCCCGACCACACAGGTCCCAGTTCACACAGCTGAGGGGCTGAGCCAGGTGACCGCGCCAGACTGAGCCCTTCCTCACGATTCCCACCTGTTCCCATCCCAGCGTGCCTGGCACCTCCCCGGCTCCCAAACTGGGCATCAGGGAACCCTGGGGCACTGCAGCCTAGTTCCAACTTTTAAACAGAACACAGCGGTAATCACCATCTGTCAGACACTGAGCAAACGACTAGCTCAAGTGAGTCAGTCTCCACCTTAGTTTCTACCACAGTCCCGTCTGTGTGACCTTAGCTCTGTAGAACTGGGATTTCAGCAGTTGCTATGAAAAGTAGCAAATTCCAGGCAAAACTCAGGGGACAGAAACTGTGGGGGAGTGTTCCATCCGATTCCAGGTCTGGAAGATGTGTGGGGCCAAAAGGTGCACTCGTATCATGAGTAAGTACTTACTGAAGAATGAAATTAAAATGTTTTTCTTCTAATTTCTGTATACTATTTTTCCAAAGAGCCACTAAATCTTTAGGATATAAATACTTATAAAGTTGTTTGAACATAAATATTTTTCCCTGTTGGTCTAGTGGCTAGGAAAAAAAACGAGAGAACATAAGTACGTAATAAATCAGTGTTAGGAATTTCTTTTTTTTTTTTTTTTTGAGACGCAGTCTCGCTCTGTGGCCCAGGCTGGAGTGCAGTGGCCAGATCTCAGCTCACTGCAAGCTCCGCCTCCCAGGTTCACGCCATTCTCCTGCCTCAGCCTCCCCAGTAGCTGGGACTACAGGCGCCCGCCACCTCGCCCGGCTAGTTCTTTGTATTTTTTAGTAGAGACGGGGTTTCACTGGGTTAGCCAGGATGGTCTTGATCTCCTGACCTTGTGATCCGCCCACCTCGGCCTCCCAAAGTGCTGGGATTACAGGCGTGGGCCACCGTGCCCAGCCAGGAATTTCTTTTGGCTTAGAAACACTTTGAAAAAATTACTGAGACATTAAAAGGTGACAGGAACTATAAGTTTGGGAATCTCTAGTCTATCCTAACCCTGAAAGAGTGACTTCAATCCTAGTGAAGAAAGGGAGCAGCTGGGATGCTGTGAACACATCCAAGACCAACCAAGCTGGAGTTTCAGGGGCTGGTCCGGGATGGCCCTGGGAAGGGGCAGCCCCCTCATCCCCCAGGTGCTGCTCCTAAGGGAACTTCTCATTTAGTCACAGACATCAGGGTCTGACTTCGTATCTCAGGGTCAGCAAAGGCCCTGTGAGTCAGAGTCTTTACGTCTCCCCTCTCTTGGGGTAGCAGTGCCAGCTCCCACGGCATCATCCTACCGGAGGCCAAGGGGCAGCTCCCCAGAGGACGGGGCAGAGCCCCAGCCCCTGAGTGCAGGGCGCAGGCCACACCCACCTGTGGAAGACGGCAGAGCAGTCAGTGCACACAGACGTGTGGCTGTCGAACGGGAACAGCACATCGCCCTCTCTGCAGAGCTCACACACAAAGCCCTTGGCCTGGCACCGCTGGGGGGAACAGTGTGGGGTTGGGGCACGGGCATGTCAGTGCCAGCTCCTCTGGGCACTCCGAGGCCAGGGACACACTGGGCTGGGCTGCTTCTCCTGCCAATCCCCCCTCAGGGCTGGGGTTGGAGAAAAGCGGCCCTCGGGCAGAGGCCCACCTCGCAGTCCAGCTTGATGTGCTTGGCGAAGAGCGTGTGGATCTCGGTGAGCGAGCAGCCCAGACGGCCGGCATGCACGTCCAGGAGGTCCTGGACAGAGTACATCTCGTCGTTCTCCACAAAATGCTGCCGATCCTGGAGCTGCCAAGTCCCAGCAGCTCTGACCGCTGCACTGGGGAGGGCCCCTCCCACTGCCCACCCATGGTCGCTCCAGCAGTCAGGGCCCGGGTGTCCAGAGAAACGAGCTACAGAAGGGTCTGGGCCCCAGGAGTAGAATCCAGGAGCCCCAGGAAGCCAACAGGGGAAGATGGGCCTGGGCCACATTTCCTGACCCGTGTAGCCGCCGCCCTCCACTCCCCAATGCAGCCCCTCCCAGCCACACTGCACCCCCGTGTTCCCCACCCTTCCTTCTCTGTCTTGTCACACAGCTCACCCCGCCAACACACAACTTGTTTTTCTTGTCTTCCCTACTTGAAAGGCACTCTCTAAGGGCAAGCCTTCCTGCCTGTTCCGTTCACTGTTCCAGAATCTAGAACATCTGTATCTGTTGAATAAATAATTAGATGAACCTTGAAAATTGTTTTTGTGGTCAACTGGCCTGAGGAGGGCTGGGCTGGACCCACCCCTGTGGAGATTCACATAAAGGCCACAGGGTTTCCCGAACTGAACTAATGGGAGAACTCTTTTGTGGGCTGAACGCCTGTTTGCTTTGTTCCTTGGGACCATGGTGAGGAGACCCTCTGCTAAAGGCACTCCATGCACAAGCTGTCTGGAAAAGACTGGAGCCGGAGGAGCCTCACTGCCCTGGCTGCGCTTCCCATGGGGCGCCAGTCCCGCTGGCAGTCTGACCTGCAGCAACAGGCGAGCCTCCATGGCCTCCCTGCATGTGATGAAGTACGGCTTCATGAGCAGGATGTCCTGGCGCAGCTTCTGCAAACAAGGCGGGAGCAGGCAGGCCTCCTCAGCCAGGACACAGGGCTGCCCCAGTGTGGGCCACACAGGGAGCCCTGCTCACAGACGTCTCGCCTCACACCCGGGTGGGCCGAGATCTGAGTGCTTCACCAAAGCCCAAAATCACAGCTCCCGGACTGGGCAGGACCGTGAGGCTCGCTTACCGTGGCCCAGAAAACCCTCCGTTCCCTCTGCCCTCACCCGGCCCCACAGGCAGACAACTGTCTGGCAGCCAGCAGCCTCAGGACCAAGTCAAACTTCCAGAGAAATCCCAGTTGCCTCCCCAGCCCTGGCCTTGGCAACTCAACTTGCTGCCACAGTCTCCTCCTGGGTAAAACGGGACCTGACTCCTTTCACCACCTCGCGTGAGACGCCGTCACGTCCTGCCGGGACTGCAGCTCCCGTCTGCCCTCGGCTCCCGCCCTACCTCCTCCCTCACCGCTGGCTAAGAGAGTGGCCCCCAGCCACGCACAGCCATGGAGCACATAGAAGTGACTGCCCTGCAGTGAGATTCAGCAGAGGACACATGCTAGAGCCAGACATGGCACAAAAAGAAGAAGAATGTAACTATCTCAAAAATGTACATTGATTTCATGTTGAAATAATATTTTGGATATATTGGGCTAAATAAAATATACTATTAAAATTAACTTCACTTATTTCTTTTTACTTTTTTTTGAGACACAGTTTCACTCTTGTTGCCCAGGATGGAGTGCAGTGGCACGATCTCAGCTCACAACAACCTCCGCCTCCCGGGTGAAACTGATTCTCCTGCATCAGCCTCACAAGTAGCTGGGATACAGGCATGCACCACCACACCTGGTTAATTTTGTATTTTTAGTAGAGATGGGGTTTCACCATGCTGGTCAGGCTGGTCTCGAACTCCTGACCGCAAGTGATCCACCCACCTCGGCCTCCCAAAGTGCTGGGATTACAGGCTTGAGCCACCGTGCCCGGCCCTTTTTACTTTTTTAATGTGGCTATTAGAAAATTTAATATTGCGTTCTTGCCTGGCATCAGATCACTACTGGACACGGTTCCAGCATCTTCAACCAAAAGGGCAGCCACGGTGCCCAGCTGACCCTAAGCAGGTGGCCTCCCTCCTCTGCTCAGAACCTCCCATGGCCCCGAGGAGAAGAGGGTACTGGCCCAGCCCTAGGGCCCATCTGACACAGCGCCCCTGCCCCCCACTCCAGGGCTCCAGCCTCACGCGAATCTCCACCAGCTCCTCCACGTAGTTGAACAGCAGAGGGTTGATCTCCCGGAGCCTGAGCACGGGCCGAGACACCATCAGCGCCAGGTAGCGCATGCTGCACCGAGATACCTGCGAGGCATGGCCGGGTGACACCTCTCACACCCACCCAGGGCCCGTGCAGCCAGCAGCACACACCCCGGGGTACACCGGCTCCACACCCCCATCCTCCTTCCTGCTCTCCCTCGCCAGCGGGATGCCCCCACCTTCCAACTCCCACCTTTCGAGGCTCAAAGTCCCAGTTGTGCACCACCCGTGCAGGGATGACAGCCAGGTCGTTCCAGTGGCAGTGGCTGCAGTAGTACTGGCCGGTGTAGTCACACTGCCTGGCCTCACTGGGCACACCCCCTGCAGGGTCAGGGGGCCATGAGTGTCCCTGCCTCACCAAAGCCCCACTCAGCTTTCCAGCCTCATGGTCTGTCCTCCCATGGACCACAACCCTCAGGGAGAGAGCCACCAGGCCAAGGGTTCCCTCCTGACTCATCCTATCCTCAGCCACAAGATCTCAGACGGTCCCAGCATCTCACTGACCTGTTTTCTTATCAGTAAAATGGGATATAAACAGGGCCTCACTGTAGGACTGCGGCAGAGACTTCATGAATTAACACCAGCAACTCTCTAGAAAGAAGAGCTGACACGCATGTGCATGACAACTGTGTGACTTCTCCCCGGTCCCCGTCTATGAGGCTTTCACACGGGAAGGCGGAGGCTGGGTCCCAGCCCTCCAGGTGCTCCTCAGTGATCTGGGCGAGTTACAGAATGCTTGGAACCTGTGTCTGCTTCAGTGAGAAATGAAAAAACGGCAGCAACAGACCCTTGTCACTTCCCAAGGGTAACAAGAGGGACTGCCCCAGGGCCTCACTCAGCTGTCTGACCTACGTGTCCTTACACACCTGTACACCCAGCTCCCCCGCCAGGAACAGCTCCCTCACCCTCTTCTCTCCCTGCCACCACTCACGCAGAGAGATGGGTGCCCGGCACTCGGCACAGCGGTAATCCTGGCTGTCCAGCCCTGTCTCAGGACAGATGTTCAGCTCGTATTCCGCTTGGTGGCTGACTTTGGAGCTCACACAGGGTTTGGAGATGAGGTTCAAGCACTTGCTGTGACAGCGGTAATAACACCCTAGGGTGGAAGGACACACGGTTCTCAAAAGTGGGAAGGGTGCACCTGCAGCCCAGGCCACCCTCAGATGGCCTTGCCCCCTCCCCATGGGTTCCATTCCAAGGCCCAGATCAATCTAAGACCTCCTGGCACCAAGGGAAGCCTTAGAACCCCAAAGATCCTCTTGTCCCTGGCCCGAGCCTTGCCCCAAAGGTGGCCCAGACCTTGTCCTCCAATTGTCTCACATGTCCAGTGCCAACCTGCCACTCCCAACACCAGACCCAACCTGTCCAAATGGACAAACGAAACCCCGCCCTCCCTCCCAAGCCCTCAGCTTCCCATCTCCGTTTCAGCAGCTCCACCCTTAAATATCATGAGTTACCCTGATGGGTTTCTATCTCTGTTGTTTGTTCGTTTTGTTTTGTTTTGTACTTTTTAAGAGACAAGGTCTTGCTCTGTTGCCCAGGCTGGAGTTCAGTGGTGCGATCAGAGCTCACTGCAGCCTCGAACTCTGGGGCTCAAGTGATCCTCCCATCTTCGCATCTGAAAGCCCTAGGATTACAGGTGAGAGCCACTGCACCCAGTCAGACAATTTTCTCATCTGTTACTTTCCGTTTCCAAACCTTCAGCTGGCACTGTACTTAGATACTCCTCACTCCCACCACCTGTCCCAACCCAATCAGAGTCATCCTCCTCTCCTCAGTCACCTCTCTCTTCAGTCCAAGCTCAATCAGCACCCAGGGTAACCTATTAAAGCCCAAGTATGTCCAGTACCCACTTGTGGCCCCCACTGCACTTAAAGAAAAGCCCTGACCACCCTGAGCTCACCTCCCCTGACACAGAGCTGCAGCCACACCTGGCTCTCTGCCTCTCCTCAAGGCACGGGACACATCAACCACGGAGTTGCCCCTCAGGCTTTGTACACACAGCTGCCCCCACCAGAACATTCCTCCCTAGATATTCTCTTGGCTTGTTCCCTGACCTTCAAGTTTTTGCTTAAAAGTCACATGATGCCGGGCGCGGTGGCTCAAGCCTGTAATCCCAGCACTTTGGGAGGCCAAGGCGGGCGGATCACGAGGTCAGGAGATTGAGACCATCCTGGCGAACATGGTGAAACCCCGTCTCTACTAAAAATACCAAAAATTAGCCAAGCGTGGTGGCAGGTGCCTGTAGTCCCAGTTACTCGGGAGGCTGAGGCAGGAGAATGGCGTGAACCCGGGAGGCGGAGCTTGCAGTGAGCTGAGATCCGGCCACTGCACTCCAGCCTGGGCGACACAGTGAGACTCCGTATAAAAAAAAAAAAAAGGTCACATGATACCTTTACATTCTGCCCTAAAGTCACATTCGCTCTACCTTAACACGTGCTAGTTCTTTTCCCTTTTTCTTCACTGTACAAACTGACACACCATGTAATTTACTAGTTTAATTTCTCATCCAGAACAGCACTGTCCGATGCAGGCAGCACAACTGAGGAAATGCATATTTAGTTAATTTAACTTTGGCCATGTTTGGCTGGTGACCACCACACTGGACAGCTCAGATCTGAACGTGAGCCCAGGGGAGTCTCTCATTCCTCACCCCTCATCTGGGTCTCGGCCCACCCGTGCAGGTGTACCAGGTCTGGAAGAGCCCCCTCATCTGGGTCTCGGCCCACCCATGCAGGTGTACCAGGTCTGGATGAGCCCCCTCATCTGGGTCTCGGCCCACCTGTGCAGGTGTACCAGGTCTGGATGAGCCCCCAGATGATGGTGTTACACTTGTCACAGGTCTGCTTGACACTCTTGCTCTTCTCCTTGTAGAAGCGGTGCTCAAGGAGCACTCGGATGTTTGGCTCATCCTCATTGGGGTCCTGCAGAGGGTGAGTCAGGGAGGGGTCACAGGTGAGCTGGGCTGAAGTTCCTTTCCCTTCGCACAAGCCCCTCAGCTTATTTCTTCCAGGCACCATTTAGAGCAGAGATTGTGAGTTTCAGCACAACGCCACGTCCCTTTTCTCCCTTTCACAGTAAACAATGATCAGCTGGACAAGCACCACCAAGGTCACATGCTACCTTTCCCAGCATCCCTTGCTACCTTTCCTAGCATCCTTTGCTACCTTTCCCAGCATCCCTTGCAGCGACGTGCTGTGTGGGATTGCGCTGGGCCACGGGCGTGTGAGCAGGAGCGACGCGGCCTCTGCCCCTCCCGCTTTCTGCCAGTTAGGTGCAGGGCAATGGAAAAGGAGGCCCTCTCCAACACCATTAGCTGCCATAGGGGCCCCAGACCACCCGTGGGATTTTTACGTGAGGAAACGAACATATCTTCTCTAAGCCACTATGTTTTGGGGTTTTTTTTGTTACCACCAATTTACCTGTTTCCTAATGAATATTCTACTTTCTGCATTCCCAGGGACTCATGAATCAGCACAGGGGACACAGGGTAGCCAGGCGAAAGCACACACAGACCCAAGGACTGCATCAGGAACATCTGTGGCCTGGGACCCCCACCTTCTTTTGTTGTCACCTTCAAGACACCACCCGTCCTTGTCCAGGTCATGTGGCTCACTCAGGGAGGAACTCAGCTCACCCGCTTGCTTCAGTGGGTGGGCACACAGCCCAGAACTAGCCAATCAGCCACTGTCATTGGGTAAGGGGTGGGCACATGACCCAGAACTGGCCAGTCACTGTCATCAGGTCAGGGGTGGGCCCAGGACGGGCCAATGAAAGTCAGGCCTGAGGTTCCTTTTTTTTTTTTTTTTTTTTTTGAGACGGAGTCTCGCTCTATCGCCCAGGCTGGAGTGCAGTGGCGCAATCTCGGCTCACTGCAAGCTCCGCCTCCCGGGTTCACGCCATTCTCCTGCCTCAGCCTCCCGAGGAGCTGGTACTACAGGCGCCCGCCACTGCGCCCGGCTAATTTTTTCTATTTTTAGTAGAGACGGGGTTTCGCCATGGTCTCGATCTCCTAACCTTGTGATCCGCCCGCCTCGGCCTCCCAAAGTGCTGGGATTACAGGCGTGAGCCACCGCGCCCGGCCAAGCCTGAGGTTCCTGCTATGACCACTGAGAAAAGGCAGCTGTCATCTGCACAGGAGGCTCGGCCGCTGGAAAGCAAGGTGTGGTTGCCGGGACCATCTCTGCCACCACACAGTTTTGGAAAGCCTGCCTGAGGCTGGATCAGACACAGAAAGTCGAGTTGGGAGACAACAAGATTCCTGACATTGGAGGACCTTCCAGTCACCAAGAAAATACATTTTTCTTTCTGGTTTGAGCTACTTAAGGTTGGGTTTCTGTTCCTTCCAACAGGAGGCTCTAGACTAACAGGGAAACCTCCCGCAGTGGGGGGAGGGCCCATCTTCCACCTTGCCTGTCTGGAGCCTTTCTACCCCAGCCCCTGTGGCCGAGAGGGAGACCACCACCTGAGAGGCATCCAGAGGCTGCAGGGTCCTCCTGGTTCCACAGTCCTGGCCTCGGCCCCAGGCTGCCCCACGGTGGGGCAGCCCCACACCCACCTTCAGCTCCTGGAGCTTCAGCCGGAGGTGGATGAGACGCACCACGGCATCCTTCTGCTTCTCAGACTGCTCGGGCAGCTCCAGAATCACCTGCTTGCACTCCTCGATCGCCTGCCGCAGCTGCTGGACGTCAGAGGCCAGGAACAGACCCTGCCCAGGTTGGGGGTAGGGGCAGTCAAATACCCACCCTGCAGGATCTCCCTGTTAAGGCCCATCCACCGAGACAGGCCCAGAGCAGACCCCGACATCCCTCACCCAGAGAAGGAAACTGAAGCCAGAGGGCACTGAGGACTTGCTCAAGGACAGGAAAGGTGGCAGCACGGTCAAGGTCCACCTGGTGCTGTGCAATCCCAGCCCGACCTGTCTGCCCACGGGCCTCTGAAAATCTAATGTTTGAAAGATGCTTTTCAAAAGACAACTTCCTTCTTTGAGAAATCCAGATGCTTTTTTGTGACGTCACTTCACTTACTTCTGAAGAGTTTCCTCTTGGAGGAAAGCTAGGGAAATGACATTTGCTGTCGTGAAGGAGAGTAAGTGGCCTCCAGCTTAACTGCCAAGCACAGGCAGATGCCAAGAGCCAGTCCCAGCACTTCCGGCTGCTTTCGCCACATAATGACCAGGGGACTCAGGGCCCAGCAAGGCCCCAGACTCAGAACACTCTGGTGCTCCTGGGGAAGACGGGATCAGGTCTCAGAGCTGGGGGCCTGGATCCCGCCCTCAGGAGCCATCCTCCTCCTCCAGGCTGCTGGGCTCTGAGACCCAGGCAAAAGGGAGGTGGCACCCTCCCCTCCCCCTTGCAGCTCAGTCTGTGGCCTAAAGGAAGTGCTCAAAATGTTGTAATACACGAAACAAGCTGAGTGCAGTGGGTCACACCTATAATGCCAGCACTTTGGGAGGCGGAGGTGGGTGGATCACTTGAGCTAAGGAGCCTGAGACCAGCCTGGGCAACAAAGCGAGACCCCGTGTCTATAAACAAAAGGGAAAATTATCTGAGCATTGTAGTGCACACCTGTAGTCTCAGCTAATCAGGAAGCTGAGGTGGGAGGATCGCTCGAGCCCAGGAGGTCGAGGCTGCAGTAAGCCATGATCGCGCCACTGTAGTCCAGAGCAGGGGCAACAGAGAGAGACCTTATCTCAAGAAAAAGAAAAAAAAAAAAAGATACGAAACACACATATGAAGTCTCTCTTTTTTTTTTTTTTTGAGACGGAGTCTCGCTCTATCGCCCAGGCTGGAGTGGTGCAGCTGCGCGATCTTGGCTCACTGCAACCTCCGCCTCCTAGGTGAAACAATTCTCCTGCCTCAGCCTCCTGAGTAGCTGGGATTACAGGCGCCGCCACCACGCCTGGCTAATTTTTTGTATTTTTAGTAGAGATGGGGTTTCACCATGTTAGCCAGGATGGTCTCGAACTCCTGACCTGCTGATCCGTCTGCCTCGGCCTCCCAAAGTGCTGGGATTACAGACATGAGCCACCGTGCCTGGCCCAGATCATTTCAAAGTTACATTTCAATGTTACCGTAATGTTTCTCTCAAAAGTTGGAGATGGTTTGCGTAAAAATAAAAGGTTTTCAAACTTTTTTTTCTTGAGACAGAGTCTCGTTCTGTTGCCCAGGCTGGAGTGCAGTGGTCTGATCTTGGCTCACTGCAAGCTCTGCCTCCCGGGTTCACGCCATTCTCTTGCCTCAGCCTCCCGAGTAGCTGGGACTACAGGCGCCCACCACCACACCGGGCTAATTTTTTCTATTTTTTAGTAGAGACTGGGTTTCACCGTGTTAGCCACGATGACGTCAATCTCCTGACCTCGTGATCCACCCGCCTCGGCCTCACAAAGTGCTGGGATTACAGGTGTGAGCCACCGCGCCCGGCCTCAAACTTTTTAAAAAAATCATTATAGCCTCCCCCTTTTCTTCTTCAACACAAGGCTTCCATGGAACAAAATACAGAACAAACAAGAGTGGCCCTGTAATACCGACTGGTCAGTAGGAGGAAGACAAGCGGCTTCCCCCTTACCTCCCACACCCTGACTCTCAGCAAGTCTACAGGACCTCAAGGACCCCAGAGGGAACCGACTCTCTGCACATTTGCTACATGAAGACATGGAACTCAGGGGATAGGAGAAGCCCCAGGTTCACGAACCCCAATCCCCGGCTGTCTCAACCTGCCTTCACTCAGGCTCTGAGGGTGGGGGTCTGTGGTGTCATGCAGGCCTCAGATTCAAAGCCAGGAGCCCTGGCTGAGGTGGGGGCTGCTGAGCCTGACAATGGAGTGAGGCTAAACCCCAGCCACAGGACGCCGTCCTGCCATCTGGGAGGGAGTAACATGGAAACCCCGGCCCTTCCTGCCTTGGAGGCTCCCTCAGCCCCACTCCCTTTCCAGATCCGAAACCTTACCACAGGGCGGGAGAAGTGGTCCTCAGACAGGCCGAGATCCATCACGCGTTCAGGGCAGCGGAACTCTGGCTCCCCAGGGGGCAGCTCAGGCAGGGCCTCTGGGGGAAGACAGGGACAGGTGTGGAGGGTCAGCTGCTACCTCCTGCCTCCCACCCCCTAGGGAGGAGCTGAGATAGCCAGGAGTGGGAAAGGGATTCAGGAAGCCGCACAGAAAGGAGGCACTGTGGGAGCTGGGCACCACTCAGATCTGCACGCCGTCCAGTTTGCATTCAGAGGAGCCCATAGCCTTGTGCAGACGGGAAAGAGACATTCGAAAGGAGGAGGTGCAATGATACTCAGTGCCAAAAGGTCCTCGAGATAGCATTATAGAAACATCCCATTTCTAAGGCAGACACCTCATGGATGACCATGGGGATGACAGAAAAACCACTGGATGGCTACATGGCAAAGTGCACGAACCCCAGTGTTGAGTCCAGGCCGTCTCTGCAGCTGCCCCGCTCTGAGCACTACTCCCTGATGGCCTCATCTGCAGTTTCTGAGGCTCATGCCACCTTCAGACGAGGGAACCCAGAGCACGTTCCCTCAGCTAACCTCCCTGTCACCAGGTCTCAGCGGACCTCACTCAGCAAGTGTTCCCTGGGCACCTACTGCGTGCTGTGCCCTAGGATACTGCGGGGACGGGTCAGGCACAAATCCTGCTCTCGCAGTGTGAATTCTAGTAGGGACACAGAAACAAACCACAGAACCACAGAACCACAGAACACACGGGTAAAAGAAAGGAGCCAGCAGGTGCCGGCTCCGTGGGAAAGTCAGGGCTACACAGGGGGCAGCAGGAAGACGGGGGGGTCCACGTACGCGGTCAGAGACCTGCCCAGCTCCCACCCTGACTCCCACCAGCACCCACCTTCAGGAGTGACGTCCGGGGCCTCCTCCCCAGGGCCCTGCTCATGCTGTCTTGGCCCAGACTGCTTGTTGAAGGGGTTGAGGTGCGCCTGCCGGAACCGGGCCAGCTTCTCATCATATTCCATAGCATCCCACCTGAGGGCCAGGCAGGGCCAGGATGAGTCCCCAGGTACCGGGCTCACCACGGACCATCCCCTTTCCCCAACCACACTGGGGTGTCTGGGGTGAGGCTGGCCTCTTTCATTTCCCTAAAGTGGGTAGTCCTCACACCACAGCCTCAATCTTCAGCCTTTTCCGGAAACACCTCAGCTGCCTCCCGCCCAGGCCCCCACTGGTGGTGTCCCCTTGGAAACAGCTCACGGTGACAATGAGGGTCCCATGAGGGCATGTGGCCCATCTTCCTTCCCAGCACAGGGTCCTCTGGCCCAACGTTGCAGAGCTCCAGCCCTAGAGCTAGCTATGGGATTCTCTCTAGGCCTCAGCCCCAGATACTCAGCCCCACTCTAGCTTGCCATATGCCTGCTCCTGTGAGACAGACCTCCCAGAAATGGGTTCCTCCTTCCTGCGCCCCCCCAACAAAACGTGCTTCCTTGTCAGAGCCTGAAACCACAGCCCCTGTCTCAGGACTCAGGGTTGGACACCTGGGGACAGTGCCAGGGCCCATCCTCTCTGCCACATGTGGGTGAGGAGGGCCCACCTTCCCCATACCAGCAGTGGGGGATCTTGGGAGGGTTCCCTGCCAGCACACGGAGAAGCCCCTACAAATGCATCCAGGCTCTCTGGCCTGGGCTCTGATCCTGGGATGAGCAACATGAGCTGAACCAGGCCCACGGCTCTGTGCCTCAGGAGCCCAGGAAACAGGCAGGAAGGGCCTAGCTCTCCGCGTGGCAGAAGCTAAGAATCAAGAACTGTCTTTTCGGCCGGGCGCGGTGGCTCAAGCCTATAATCCCAGCACTTTGGGAAGCCGAGACGGGCGGATCACGAGGTCAGGAGATCGAGACCATCCTGGCTAACACGGTGAAACCCCGTCTCTACTAAAAAATACAAAAAAACTAGCCGGGCGAGGTGGCAGGCGCCTGTAGTCCCAGCTACTCGGGAGGCTGAGGCGGGAGAATGGCGTGAACCCGAGAGGCGGAGCTTGCAGTGAGCTGAGATCCGGCCACTGCACTCCAGCCTGGGCCACAGAGCTAGACTCCGTCTCAAAAAAAAAAAAAAAAAAAAAAAAAAAAGGAACACTCTTTTCCCGCTCTGAGGCTCAGAAAACTGCAGAACACACAGGGCTGATGGCTCCTGGCAGGGAGGAAGGGACTTTGGATGGGGTGGGAGTAGAGGCAGTTTGCATGCAGCCCTCCCACGTAACTTCCTGGGTCACATTCCTTAGCCTCCCTGCCTCCATTTCCCCATCCGTAATGGGCCATTGTGAGGGTGAAATGAGTTAACAGAGACTGAGTACAAAGTAAGCTCGCCGTAAGGTCGGTTGATGTTATAGGAAGTCGGAGGTGTCTTTTTAAAGTTGTTCAGTAACCTCGTCAGTGTTAGTTATGCTTTCACTACACCTGTTACAGCCTGAAATAATTCACTAATAGAAGAAACAATCCTATGATTTATCCTCTGCCCCTTCTCCCAAAAGAAAGAGAGCTGAGCCCAGAAGGGACGGCCCTGCTCAGAGTCACACTGTGGCCTGGGGGAACTGGGATTTGAACTCATTGCCTCACTGGCAGTGGGATAAGGAGGCCACCCCAGCCCCACATGGCTACCCTGCAACTGGGCAAGACTCCACATCACCTATGGGACCTGTCCTGCCTGTTGTGCCTGTGGGGAAGGAGTGTGGGTTGGGCACCTGCACGCCAGCCCAAAAGGATCCAGCACCCATTGACAGGCTGCCCATGGACCCAAACAGGGAGGCACCGGGAAGACACAAGGGGCGTGGGCCCCAGTCCCACCTCTTTCTCTTATTACCTGATGACTTTGGGTGGGTCACAGAGTCAGAGGCAGCTGCCCGATGCCAGCACCTCCCCAGTCTCCCAGGGAGCACCCAGGACACAGGAGAAATCAGGCCGTCCCAACATCACTCCTCCTTCTTCCTGAATGGGGAGCCTCATTTTTGTGTATCACATAACTTCCCAGCCTCCCCAGCAGATACACTTGGTAAAGTGACTGACAGTTCTGACTCCCTGGGCTTGAGAAGATCAGGCAAATCTCAGCAGCTCTGGGCTCCTGGCTTCACTGACATACACAAGTCCTTACCCCTCCATCCACCCCAGGAAGTACGTGTTCTCCCTGATTTATAGGCAAGAAAATGGAGAACCAGAGACTAAATCAGGGCTATCTGAAAATAACAGTAATGGGCCAGGCGTGGTAGCTCACACCTCTAATCCCAGCACTCTGGACGGCCAAGGCAGGAGGACGGCATTAGGCCAGACCCAATGCAGTGAGGACCAATCTCTACTAAATTTTACATAAATATGGGCCGGGCGCAGTGGCTCACACCTGTAATCCCAGCACTTTGGGAGGCCAAGGCAGGTGGATCACGAGGTCAGGAGATCAAGACCATCTTGGCCAACATGGTCTCTACTAAAATACAAAAAATTTAGCCGGGCGTGGTGGCGGGCACATGTAGTCCCAGCTACTCGGGAGGCTGAGACAGGAGAATGGCGTGAACCCGGGAGGCGGAGGCTGCAGTGAGCCGAGATTGAGCCACTGAACTCCAGCCTGGGCAACAGAGCGAGACTCCACCTCAAAAAAAAAAAAAAAAAAAAAAGATTCTGACTGATGATACCAATAGTCTCATGGTAACAAGACAGACACGCCCAACTTGAATCCCAGCTCTGCCAGCTCCTAGCTGCGTGACCTTGGGTAAGTGGATAAACCTTTCTCTGCCTCCATTCTCTCATGTCTCAAATGGGGATTACAATAGTACCATACAGGGTTATTATCAAGATTAAAGTAGTTACTACTAAGTTCAGAGAACACTGGCCAGTACATAGTAAGCACCCAATAAATACTGATTACGACTTATCATTATTACTCTTTTTTTTTTTTGAGACAGGGTGTGGCTCTGTCACCCAGGCGGGAGTGCAGTGGTGCGATCATAGCTCACTGCAGCCTCAAGCTCCTGGGCTTAAGGGGTCCTCCCATATTAGCCTCCCAAGTAGCTGGAACTCCAGGTGTGTGCCACCATACTCAGCTAATGTTTTTTAACTTTTTGTAGAGACAGAGTCTCGCTCTGATGGCCAGGCTGGTCTGGAACACCTAACCTCAGGTGATCTGCCTGCCTCAGCCTCCCAAAGTGCTGGGATTATAGGTGGGAGCCACCACGCCTGGCCTAGTACCATTACTTTTAAGAATCATGGCTGGGCACGGCTGGGCGCAGTGGCTCAAGCCTGTAATCCCAGCACTTTGGGAGGCCGAGGCGGGCGGATCACAAGGTCAGGAGATTGAGACTATCCTGGCTAACATGGTGAAACCCCGTCTCTACTAAAAATACAAAAAAATTAGCCAGGCGTGGTGGTGGGCGCCTGTAGTCCCAGCTACTCGGGAGGCTGAGGTGGGAGAATGGCGTGAACCTGGGAGGCAGAGCTGGCAGTGCGCCGAGATCGCGCTGCTGCACTCCAGCCTGGGGCACAGAGCGAGAGTCTGTCTCAAAAAAAAAAAAAAAGAATCATGGCCGGGCATAGTGGCTCACTTTGGGAGGCTGAGGCGGGTGGATCATTTGAGGTCAAGAGTTCAAAACCAGTCTGACCAACATGGTGAAACCCTGTCTCTACTAAAAATACAAACAAATTAGCTGGGCATGGTGGTGCACGCCTGTAATCCAGCTAATCAGGAAAACCGAGGCAGGAGAATTGCTTGAACACGGGAGGTGGAGGTTGCTATGAGCTGAGATTGTGCCATTGCACTCCAGCCTGGGAAACACAGCAAAACTCCATCTCAAAAAAAAATAAAAATAAAAATAAATCAGCCCTGATTTAGACTCTGGTTCTCCATTTTCTTGCCTATAAATCAGAGGGAACACCTACTTTGTGGGGTGGATGGAAGGGCTAAGGACTTGTGTATGATGTCAGTGAAGCCAGGAGCCCAGAGCTGCTCAGAACAGACTGGCACTGTCATCACATATGGTGACCAGTCCAGGAAAAAGGGTGCAGGAGCTACGCCTGGGGCAGCCCCTGGAAACCTCCTGCTGTTTAAAACACGGCCAGAGGAGCGTCAAAGCAGGCACGCTGGCACGGACACCTCTGCTCTGCCCAGCAGCTGTACTCTTGGCTACGAGCTCTCCTCTGGGCTGTGGAAAAAAGGCATCTTTTATTTGCCTATTTACTGAGAGTCAGTGCCAGCCCCAGGCCTGGCGCATGGGCAGGGGATGAATGAGGGAAGGCCTTTGGCCTCACAGCCTTAGCCTCTCCCCACACGCTGACCTGGGGATGCTGACCACAGTGGCCGACCCTGAGCAGAACGCTCTTCCCACCAGGCTCACCCACCAGTTCTGCACCCAGATGTCGGACTTGGCCTAAGAAGCAGGCAGGAAGTGGGAGAATGAAAGCAGAGGTCAGGCCACCCCCAGCCCCTCCTCTAGAGCCCATTGCTCTCATCCGGGAGGACTCCACAACTTAGCAATGAAAGGAAACAGAAGAACAGCCGGCGGGGCTCCGGGGCACAGGGGGACCCTGGGCTGAAGCTCAGGACACTCGGGATGCATGGAGCTGGCCTCCCGCGTCCTGCCCGCGGTGTGACCACCAGGAAGTGGTGTCATCACTGCAGCTGCCACCCCCAGAACCTGAGAAGTCACCGCGGTGTGCGGAGTCAACAGCGCCCTGTCTGCCCATACCTGGATCGCCTGCCAGGGCCCAGGGGCTCTCAGGGACAGGACGGTCATTCCTCTAGGGCTGCTCGCCACGGAAGCCTGGCCGTGGGTTCGCCACCTGCTGCAGGGAGAAGCCGCCCCAGGACTGTGCCTCCCCCACCTACCACGCCCGCAGGAGCTCGCTGGGGTACCCTGGTGTCCCGGGCTCCTCGCGGGGCAGGTCTGTCCCACCCCCCATTCCACAGATGGGGAAACTGAGGCTCGGAGCAGCCCAGGAAGGGGGCACAGGCACGCGGGTCCCCTGGGCCGCCCGGGTGCCCCGCACGCAGCTGGTGTGGACGCCGGAGCAGCGGCGGGGTCCCCGGGGCCGGGCGGCCGAGCTCTCGAGGCCCCGCGCCGGGCGGGCCGCCCTCCCCGCCCGTCCCCGCCAGCCCCGCGCCGCTCACCTGACCGCCGCCGCGCCGCCCCGCATCTGCCCGGCCTCCCGGCTGCGCTGGATCCGCCCGGCCGCCCCGCTGCGCTGATCCGCGGCGCCCGCTGCTGCCGCCTCCGGCGCGGAGGTTCATGGCACGCGGGGCCGAGTCTGCGCGCCCCGGAGTCCGCCCGGCCGCGCCCCTGGGCCGGGGCGCCTGTCCTGGGTTTCCCGTCACCACAAAAGGCCTGGCCGAAATCCAAGCCGCGACACGTGTAAAAACAAAACAGGTGGCTTTAGCTTTTTTTTTTTAACCCCAGTGGTTGAGGAGAAAAAAGGAACAGAGAACCCGCGTGCGCGGGCGGCTCGCGGGCTGCCACCTGCAGGCCCCGGCGGGGGCTTCGCGGCTGGAGAGCGAGGGGCTCCCTGCGGCTCCACCCTCTAGACGGCGGACACGGCCACGCTGCGCTTCGGAGGCGGCTCCATGGAGGCGCGGGGCGGCGGGACTTCGGAGGCAGCTGGTGTCTGCGGGCCCTGGCATCCTTCCTGCCGCCCGGTTGTTTATACACAGAGCAGGCCCGCGCTCCCCGCCCCCATATCCCTACTCTTACACTTCTCGGGTGGAAGATTCTTCACCTGCCCCCGCTTGTGCCCGCAGGGAGGAGCTGAGGACAGATGAAGGCCAGCATATGGGCCTGGTGCCCTTGCCCTGAGCTCGCGGACTCAGTTTCCCTTCTATGCAGAAAGATGTGGTTTTGGCTGCCTCTGGGCTTGGCCCACTTTGTTCGGTGGGCATCATGATGACAGTGCCAGTAACTGGGGGCCTCCCCAGTGGGAGCCACACACCATCTTGCCGAGACCAGCTGGGTCGGGGAGACCCTCACCAGGGGCGCTAGAGGAATTAAAGACACACACACAGAAATATAGAGCGTGGAGTGGGAAATCAGGGGTCTCACAGCCTTCAGAGCTGAGAGCCTTGAACAGAGATTTACCCAGGTATTTTATTAACAGCAAGCCAGTGGTAAGCATTGTTTCTATAGATTAACTAAAAGTATTCCTTATAGGAAACGAAGGGATGGGCCGAAATAAAGGGATGGGTTGGGCTAGTTATCTGCAGCAGGAGCATGTCCTTAAGGCACAGATCGCTCATGTTATTGTTTGTAGTTTAAGAACGCCTTTAGGCAGTTTTCTGCCCTGGGTGGGCCAGGTGTTCCTTGCCCTCATTCTGGTAAACCATAACCTTCCAGCGTGGGTGTTATGGCCATCATGAACATGTCACAGTGCTGCAGAGATTTTATTTATGGCCAGATTTGGGGGGCCCTGTTCCCAACACCATCTCATTTAACCCTGTCGAAGCCTGGGGGCCAGCAGTCACCTACAGGACAGGCAACGCCATCGGCCCCACCAAGGCCACATTGCTCAGAAGGGGCGGAGCGAGATTCCACCCCAGCTCAGGGTAGCTTCGGACCCTGTGCTCCTCCATGCACTCAGATCTGGAGGGAGACTGCCTTGAGCTGCCGCTCTGTCTGCTGCTTCAAGGTCCTCAGTCCTAGAGATTCCACATCCACCTGGCCTCTCTCCCAGCTCCTCCTTCTAGAAAAGCCCTTCTCCATCTCAGCTCCCACCTGGGCCCCACAGTTCATCCTCAGCCTGGCAGTCAGAGGGACCTTGGGAAGAAGTTAGCCCCCACCTTCACCTCCTGGCTCCTCCCAACAGGCCAGGCCCACCCCCACCCCCACCTAGCTGACCACCCACCTTCACCTCTGAAGCCACTCCCAACCAGGCCAGGCCACACCCCACCTTCACCTCCTGGCTCCTACCTCCTGGCTCCTCCCAACAGGCCAGGCCCACCCCCACCCCCACCTCCAGCGGGGCCCCTGCCTGGCTGAGCCTCTGTGGAGCACTCTTCCCCAGTAACCCGAACACCTCCTCCTTGCCTCTGCTCAGTGGTACTCAGTGATCTCTGGGAGGCAGGGACCTTCCCCTCACTCACTCATCATCTCCCTAATCACTCGTCACTGTTGTCTTCTGTTTTGCACATTTTTATTTATTATTTCTTACCCCACCCCTCAACCACCAGAAGCTAAGAGCTGCAGGCAACATTTTGTTGCCTTTCTTTGCTGCTTCACGGCCAGTGCCTGGACACAGACGGTGCCTCCTCACATAGACTAAGAAAGGAATGGGTCCCCGGTTGAGGCTGGCCCTGAGAGGAAGGAGGTTCCACCCAGCAGATGACCCACTGCCCAGGTGCATGTTAGAACCGGTTGTTCATCTGAACCAGTGTCTACAAAAGCAATGGGAACCCTCCTTCAAGGAGAGACAAAGATAAACCCACACTCTCCACGCAGTTTAAAGTCTACTTTCTTAATCAGAAGGTGTGGGCCGGGCGTGGTGGCTCATGCCTGTAATCCCAGCACTTTGGGAGCCCAGGAATCTGAGGCTGCAGTGGCCCACTGCACTCCAGCTTGGGTGACAGAGCAAGAACCTGTCTCTAAAATTAAATAAGTAAACAAACAACACAGTGTGTCATGACCATCTCTAGTCCTCTGTAGACATTCAACAACACTTTTAATCTTTACATTTTTATTTATTTTGGGACAGGGTCTCGCTCTGTCACCCAGGCTGGAGTGCAGTGGCTCAGTCTCACCTCACTGCAACCTCCACCTCCCAGGCTTAAGTGGTTCTCCCACGTCAGCCTCCCGAGTAGCTGGGATCGCAGGCAAGCGCCGCCACCTGGCTAATTTTATTTGTATTTTTTGTAGAGGCATTTGCCACATTGCCCAGGCTGATCTCGGAATCCTGGACCCAAGTGATCCACCCACCTCAGCCTACCAGAGTGCTGGGATTGCAGGCGTGAGCTACCATGCCTGACCCTATTTTATTCGTATTTTTGAAGAGACAAGGTCTCACTCTGCTTAAGCATAGCAGCATGAGCATAGCTCACTGCAGCCTCGAATGTCTGAGTTCAAGTGATCCTCCGGCCTTAGCATCCCAGAGTTCTGGGAGAATCTACAATTACAGAGAATTTATATACTGGTTTAGAACATTTACTATTTTGTTTGGTTTTGTTTCAGATGGGGTTGCCCAGGCTGGTCTCCAACTCCTGAGCTCAAGAGATCTGCCCACCTCAGCCTCCCAAAATTCTAGGATTTCAGGCATGAGCCACCACAAATAAATGTATTGAGCACCAACTATATGCCATGCTCTGGTCAAAGCACTAGGACACTGTGGTGAGAAAACACAAGGTCCCATCACTCAAGGAACCAGACGATAAGCAAAGATGCAAATTAATCAGAGATGTGATAAGCACCAAGAAGGAAATAAACAGTTGGACGAGACAGTGACTGAGATCAGGGAAGGAAGATGCTTGAGCCAAGACTCAGGGGTCAGAAGGAGAGAACCACTGAAGAGTGGGAGGGGCATCCAGGTAGAAACGCAAGTGCAAAGCCCTCAAGGAACCGAAAAGCCTCCTGTGAGTGAGGAACTGGAAGCAGGTCCATGTGGCTGGAGTTTAGCACAAGGTGAAGTGAGGGGAGAGGACCAGAGATGGGAGGCTATGAGCTAATAGTAAACACATCGGCTTTGATTTGTGGTGAGATAGGAGCCGTTGGAAATGTCTCTCAGCCCTTTTTTTTTTTGAAACAGGGTCTCACTCTGTCGCCCAGGCTGGAGTGCAGTGGCACAATCTCGGCTCACTGCCGCCTCAACCTCTGGGACTCAAGGGATCCTCCTGCCTCAGCCTCCCTAGTAGCCAGGGCTACACGCACACACCACCACGCCTTCCTAATTTTTTCGGGGGGAGGGGTGGGAGACAGAGTCTCGCTCTTTTACCAGGCTGGAGTGTAGTAGTGTGATCTCGACTCACTACAACCTCCACCTCCCGGGTTCAAGCAATTCTTCTGCCTCAGCCTCCTGAGTAGCTAGGATTACAGGCATGAGCCACCACGCCCAGCCCAATTTTTTTTTTTTTTTTTGAGACGTAGTCTTGCTCTGTCACCCAGGCTGCAGTGCAGTGGCACAATCTCGGCTCACTGCGAGCTCCACCTACTGGGTTCCCGCCATTCTCCGGCCTCAGTCTCCTGAGTAGCTGGGACTGCAGGCACCGCCGCCACACCCAGCTAATTTTTTGTATTTTTAGTAGAGACAGGATTTCACTGTGTTAACCAGGATGGTCTCGATCTCCTGACCTTGTGATCCGCCTGCCTCAGCCTCCCAAAGTGCTGGGATTACAGGCGTGAGCCACGGCGCCTGGCTCTGGTCAGTTGTTTTAATTTTCTTTTAGCCTCCACAAATAAATGAAAACGTGCAAAGCTTGTCTTTCTGTGCCTGGCTTATTTCACTTAACATAATGACTTCCAGTTCCATCCATGTTGTTGCAAATGACAGGATCTCATTCTTTTTTACGGCTGAATAGTACTCCATTGTGTAAAGTACCACATTTTCTTTATCCATTCATCTGTTGATGGAGGATAGGTTTACTATCTGCTTCCTTCTTGATGCTTATCACATCTCTGATCATGGTCGTAGTTTCTCAGATGTATACATATGTCAAAATCTATCCAGTTCTACCCTTACACATGTGCAGTTTATTGTATGTTGATTATATCTCAACAAAGCTGTTAAGAGACCAAGTGTGGTGGCTCATCCCTGTAATCCCAGCACGTTGGGAGGCTGAAGCTGGTGGATCACCACGAGGTCAGGAGATCAAGACCATCCTGGTCAACATGGTAAAACCCTGTCTCTAATAAAAAAAAAATACAAAAAATAAGCCGGGTGTGGTGGTAGGTGCCTGTAGTCCCAGCTACTCCGGAGGCTGAAGCAGGAGAATGGCGTGAACCCGGGAGGCAGAGCTGGCAGTGAGCCGAGATCACACCACTGCACTCCAGCCTAGGTGACAGAGCGAGACTCTGTCTCAAATTTAAAAAAAAACTTATTTTGAGACACATCCATGTGGCAGCAGATGTCTGTGGTTTATCCCTCTCACTGCCAAGTATCCATGGATGACCACACTGTGTCTATCCATTCACCTGTTGATGGCCATCTGGGCTGTTTCCAGTGTTTGTTATTATAAATAAAGCTACTATAAACGTGTGTGTGCATCACTGTGTGGAGATATGCTTTCATTCTCCTGGGCAATATTTAGCAACAGAATGGCTTGGTCACGTGCAGTGATTTTACTTCTTAGAATGCATGAACTTTCTCCCGTGGCGGTTGTGCCTTTTCATGTTCCTGCTGGGAGGTGTGAGTGCTCCAGGGGTTCCTGTGTCCACACCAACAACTGGTGTGGTGGGTCTCTCCCCTGGAGGATACTGAGCAGAGAAGTGGTATAATTTTGTTTTCAAAAGATCCCTCTGGGCCGGGCACGGTGGTACACACTACACTTTGGGAGGCCAAAGTGGGCGGATCACGAGGTCAGGAGTTCAAGACCACTCTGGCCAACATGGTGAAACCTCATCTCTACTAAAAATACAAAAATTAGCTAGATGTGGTGACGCGCAC